GTGGGTCGTCCACTATACGACGTCCACTATACTAGTACGTGCTCTATATGGTTGTGGGTCGTCCACTACACGACACAGTATCGGTCGTCTTCTCTGTCACCCGACCTACTCATGTAAGACCTACTGCTGACTTACCCGATCTACCTTATGATTGCATCACTGGGTCGGTCGTCTACCCTGTTACCCAACCTACTCTTTTGCCCGAGCGTTCAGTGGACGCGCGTCGCAGTACATATAATGGCTTTGTGGTTGTGGATGAACTCCACCGCTGCAAGGGGCAATAAGTAATAAGAGAGCTGTGATTTCGTGTCGTGATTGGCATGCTCTGATGGCCTATACAAAGCTGCGGGAGAGCACATGTGCCTTCAAAATATTATACCCATGTGTTTTCAAAGTGCCGCAACTCCTTTGACAATTGTGGTTTATGTCACCGATGGCACCGGCAAGAACGTGCGATTTTACAGGAATGACACAGCTTAAAGCTTTTGCAGTAGCACATCTGAAAGTTCGCAACTCCATGTAAACGTGTATTTTTTAAAATTTACCCAGAAACCATGTTTTTTGATACACGCTAGATAGCAGTATTATCATGATATGACTCCAAATGCTATGGGTTAGACGTAGATATGCGACGTGATGTTAACACTTCCTGGGAAATGTTCGTAGACCGGTGAATAATTATGGCCTCGGACGTTTTCCGGTGGCTTTTTGACACTGGCTATATTTGTGAAATTTTCTTTCAGGTCAGAAAGCCCAAACCAAAGGGGAAAAAGAAACGCACCATTCCACTGGCACCAGAGACGCCAGAGTGGATAGACTTTTCCTTGAAACCCGTCAAGCACGTGCCCAAACGTGTCGACACGGACGAAATGGAGACTGTCGAGCTAAAACCCGTGAGCGAAAGCGATGATGATGAATTGGTCCGTGGAAAGAAGCCCGACCAAACACTCACACCGAAATTCCCTGAGGAGCATGGGCCTGTCGAGGGCGGTCCAGTTCCACTTGAAACAGCTGTACCCATCGGAAATAGAAAGAAGAAGAGGCCAACGAAAAAGGGAGAGCCCGGCAGGCCACCAACAGCAGAGGGAGTAGACGTCGCATCACCAGATGAGCAGGTTTGTCGATAGGTTATGCAGCGACATCATTTCATGGTCCTTTTTCTTCCAAATGATGTTGCTACTTCAGTCGGTTCGGGCTCCGGTTGGAACAGTCGGTCGGTGCGGGCACCTCAGGTTAAGCACCTATCCGGGGTAGTGCAGGCATGTTTCTGAGTCGTGCAATGCCACTATACATTCAGCCATTGTTTGGTGACGAAAAAAGACAACTTGACTTCAGCATAGCTACGACTTGCGCAAAACATATACGCCTCCAACAATTATTATTACATGCCAGAATCCTTGTTTAAAACGCCTGTCGTCTAGTTGCCGAAACTAGAGGTTCCAGTTCGCCAAGACTTCTGCTACCTGTCGCTCCAGGTGGCAGAATAAGTGTTTACGGCGATGTAATTTTTCAGAGTGAGGCTGAGCCCGAAGAAGTGAAACTCCCCATACCAGAAGAGAAACCAAAGAAACCTAAGCACGGTGGCCCCGAATGGCAAAATGTGCAGCTCAGAACTGTGGAACAGCAGGACGAGGAAGACGCCCTAAAGTCTCTTATTTTCAGCCGGCCTGATCGCATCGAGCCCACTGAACTTCCAGATTTCCAATTAAAGAAGAAGCCGGAAGACACGAGGGAAGAGCCCGAGGAAGATACCCCCGAAGTCCCTACCGGAAAGAAAACGAAACCCAAAAAACATAAAAAGCCGAAGAAACATCCTGGCGGAAGCGACGATTTGGAGGTCGTGCCAGCTGTTGAGCATGCGGATGAAGGTGTTGACCAGGACGAGCCCAGCAGCCCACACGGCCCAGAGAGTCCCACCGGGGCTGTTCTTCAAGATGAAACAGTGGAAGTGCTCTCGGAGGAACACGTCGCAGACGAGGTTTGTAAACTTTTCAAGTGTTTATTGTGTTTCGTCTATAATATAATTCAACGCTGGACTGTTTTGTAGAGCTGCGGGCTTTTAAAAGTCGGGAGAAACCTGTCCGTCCCAATGTCTGTTAACTTAGAATAGAAAACGTGCGCGCTAACAGCAACCGCGATTCAGTTTCAGGCTTTCTCGTCCGTAAATCATAGACTGTGTTGGTCAGCTCAGATAACGCTTACCAAAAAATATTCCAGAGGACAGTGGGGCAGCAGATACAGAAGCGTCCAGACAAGCAGAGGCGTGTGTTTCCGACAGAAGGGCAGCCAGAATGGATAGACTTCCGCTTGAAGCCAGTCAAAAAAGTAGCAAAAATAATTGAAAGCGACGCAATGGAAACGGTAGATCTGAAACCTTTGCCAGAGTTGCATCAAGACATTCCGGAAAAGCTGGAAGAAGATAGCCTGCTGCAACCTAAACCCTTTGAAACTGAAGAGCTTGCAAGTGATATAGAACCCATCGTTGAAAAGCCTGAGGAATTTGATGATGACAAAGTCGTTGCATGGAGAAAGAAACGAGGAAAAAAACCGAAGAGACCAAAACGTAGTCCGGATATCCCAGAAGATGGGCAGCCCTTTACGCCAGAATCCACAAAATTGGAATCAGTTCCCTCCAAGGAGGTCCGTTTAAGGTTTTGAAGAAGAGCTTTAAACGACTAATCAGCAGTAATATTACGTGGTCATTTCATCGGTTAACCTTACGCTCATACAATTATTTTTCCTCACTTCAGCTTGCTTAACCATGACAACGAAAACAGTGAAAACTACAGTGGTTTTCTGAACACGCCGAGTGCTGCTTGATGTTCCTAATGGACTGAACCGCGCTATATATGCCTGAACCGCACGACTGAGCCAATACGTTGCTGCGTGCGTGCTGCACAGATGGCTCAGCTTAGCAATTCATGAAGTATTAAATATTTTATGATGGAAAGAACTCGTCTCGGCTGTTTCACCAAGAAACGTTTGAGATTACTGGTGCGGAATGCGCAGTACGCAGTAGCGTGGGGCGTAAATTGTAAAATAGGGTGGTGGGGAAATATCGGTATCCCATTCGAATGTGATAATTTGCGTAGCGAAATCTTTGATGTGATATGGCCAATGTATTTACAAAGCACTATTTCACAAACGGTCCATTCTTCATCATTCGTGTGGGAGAGACTGCTTCGATGTGAAGTGCCGTGCAAATTAGAGGGGAAGATTCCTGCATGTCTGCATCATTCATGAAACACTGTGTTGACCTTGCCGGAAACTGTTGAAAATATCGCGGATTTTGCATGTCTTACCCTGTGCAGGAATACTGATGGAGTAATCTCATCCTACCATACTTCCCAGGAATCGGATAGCCTTAAAAGAAAGCCGAAGCGTCTGGTTCCCGTCGATCACGGGGCTCCAGAATGGCAGACGATCCAGCTCAGACCAGCCCAGCGCGTCAAAAAGGCCACGGAAGATGACCTGGAGACTGTCATCCTGAAACCTATTCCGAAACATGAAGAAACTTCTGAGATTACTGTCACAACAACTACAAAAGACCTTCAGTTTACTGCCGACGACATCACAGAGGAGATTTCTGAAGTTGATCACGACGTCACGACCATAACCACAAAGAAAAAGAAAAGGACACCCAAAAAGAAACCATATGAGGAAGAAGTACAAGAAGTTGACGTGGATATGCCTGACGAAGAAGATGTCTTCCCTGATGAACAGCAACCAGAGGAATGGAGGCGTAAGAAAGACAAAAGGAAACCTAAGCGACCAAGGCCAGAGGAGACGCCAATGGAGCCCACGGAAGAAACGACGGACATCACAGAGACCGTGCAGGTCACGTCTGACCAAGAGGAAATAACGGAAGAAACAACAATAACAACTAAGTCAAGGAAGAAAAAGCTCAAAGATAAACCACTTGAGGAGGAGATCCACGAGGTCGGTGTGGAGATACCTGAGCAGAAAGAGCTTATTCCGCATGAGGATATGCCCGAAGAATGGAGGCGCAAAAGCGATAAGAAAAAGAAACCTGAGCGTCCATTGGATGACGACACTAAAGAACGACCAACAGAAGAATTCCAAGATGTCACATCTACCCATGAAGAGGTAACAGAAGAAACAGTAATTTCCACGAAAACAGTGAAAAGAAAGCCCGAGGATCAACCGTTTGAGGAAGAGGTGCAGGAAGTTGATGTGGAGATGCCTAAAGAGCAGGACCTCGTTCTTGAGGAAGAGACACCCGAAGAATGGAGACGTACAAAAGACAAGAAAAAGAAACCTAAGCGTCCAAAGGATGCGGAAATCTCAAAGGGACCAGCAAAACAAATTACCGATGCCACCGATACAGGAAAGGTCGTCACATCTGATCAAGAGGAAATAACAGAGGAGGAAACAACTGTCATCACGAAATCAATGAAAAAGAAACCAAAGGACAAACCATTTGAGGAAGAGGTGCAAGAGGTTGACGTGGAGATGCCTCAAGATCAAGGGGTCGTTCCGCAAGAAGAGACGCCCGAAGAATGGAGGCGAAAGAAGGACAAGAAAAAGAAACCTAAACGTCCGAAGGATGGCGAGACTTCAAAACAACCAAGTGAAGGAATCACAGATAGCTCAGAAACAGTGAAAGAGGTCACGTCTGACCAAGAGAAAACTACGGATGAGGGCAAAGTTATTACGGAGATAACTAAAAAGAAGCCCAGAGACCGACCGCTGGAGGAGGAGGTGCGGGAGGTTGACGTGGAGATGCCTGAAGATCAAGAGCTTGTTCCGGAGGATGGGACGCCCAAAGAATGGAGGCGCACAAAAGACAAGAAAAAACCAAAACGGCCAAAGGATAAGGAAACTCCAAAATGGCCAACAGTAGAAACAACTGAGGTCACGGAGATTGTCGCAGAGGTTACATCTGACCAAGAGGAAAAAGTAGAGGAAACAACTACAACCAAGTCGATAACAAAGACACCAAAAGATAAGCCATTTGAGGAAGAAGTGCAAGAGGTCGATGTGGAGATGCCCGAGGAACAAGGGCTTATTCCTCAAGAAGAGACGCGTGAAGAATGGAGGCGGAAGAGTGACAAAAAGAGGAAACCAAAGCGTTCGAAGGATGAACAGGCACCGGAGCAACCTACAAAGGAAATAATAAGTACAGCGGAAACTGTGAAAGAGGTCACATCTGACCAGGAGGAGATAACCGATGAAACAACCATTGTCACAAAAACAATGAAAATGATGCCAAAAGACAGACCATTCGATGAAGAGGTGCAGGAAGCTGATGTGCAAATGCCCGCTGAGCAAGAGATTATCCCAGAGGAACTAACGCCCGAAGAATGGAGGCGCAACAAGAAAGACAAAAGGAAGAAACCTAAGCGTCCAGGGGATGAGGAGACTCCAAAGCAACCAACAGAAGAAACTATTCGTGATACAGAAATAATGAAAGAGATCGTTTCAGACGAAGAGAAAATAACAGAAGAAACGATTATCAAAACAAAAACAATTGAAACTAAACCAAAAGAAAAGCCATTTGAGGAGGAGGTACAAGAGGTTGATATGGAGATGCCTGAGGACGAGGAGATCATTACTCAAGAAGAGACGCCCAAAGATTGGAGGCGAAAGAAAGACAAGAAGAAATCCAAACGTCCAAAAGATGACGGGACCTCCAAACAACCACTTCAGAAAACCACAGATGTCACCGAAACGACGAAAAAGGTTACGTCTGACGAAGAGCAAGTTACGGAAGAAGTCACAACAACCACAAAAATAACAGAAAAGACACAGGAAGAAAAACCGTTTGAGGAGGAAGTGCAAGAGGTTGACGTCGAAGTGCTCAAAGAGCAAGAGCTTCTTCCTGATGAAGAGACTCCCGAAGAGTGGAAGCGCACAAGAGGCAAGAAAAAGAAACCTAAGCGCTCTAAGGATGATAAAACGCCGGACGAGGGCGTCGAGCCATTGGTCCTAACTCAGCCGGATCAGGTTAGAAACGTTTTGCCAGGCTCTGGGTTGCTCTTCAGTGCTGCTAATGCACTTGTTGCACTATGGCCTACGATATAGGCGTTTGCGCGCTGCTCCTATGCGTGATGTGTGGGTTTATAACGCATTCAACTGTGAAAATAACGCCGTTACTCAAGCTATTACATGTGATCGTTTCTTGTGTAACAGTGCTTTTTACTAATAACGTTTTGGTTAGTTATTTACCCCACTTCCAAATTCTGATCAGAGAGGGTATATGGCAGCTTTTTGTCTCACCGCGTTTCTATTCACGTGCAGTTTATTTTGCTGCTGCTGCTGCTTTGATATTCCATCTCCTCTGTGCAACTCGATGCAGACACAACCTATACATCGGAAAGCCAATGTGGGATTAAAGGACAGGATGTGGCAGTTGCGTTGGGCTTAGCACCGCAACCTCAGGTTTTAATAGAACTCCAACTTGTTACATCCCTATTTCTCTCTCAGTTGCTCCAATCAACGGTCTTGCCATTTTAAGGCTTGAAACCGTCCTGCTTTTTAGCTTGATGCCCGCAAAGGTGTGCATGCTATTTCAAGGTCACCCCGGCAGGTGCAGTGGAATCAAGTGAAAGAAAACCGGAGGTCAAAGCTAAATGCTTCCTACACCCCTTAAAACCTTTCTATTCACGCAATTGACTTGCGTGCGAAAGTATCGATAATGCGAACAAGTTTAATGAGACTCACAGAAAGGGCCAGCGTAGACCATATTGTGATCTGCTTCTTAGCTTAATCAAAATGAAACCCAACTTTGCTAATAACTGTTACTAATTGTGTCTATGGGTTGAATGTGTAAGCCCTAAATGTGTCCTAAAATGCGTCTTAAGTGTGCTGTTTTTTAACGTTCCCATTGGTTATGAACCGTGCGCTAACAATGCATCGCGCCATTGTGTGGCAGCACGCTGTCGTGTGATCGCACCGTTTGTTGGAAATACACTTCGTTGCATAAAATCGTGGACGTTTCTGTGCATATCATGCGTTTCATGACTGCGAGGGTTATTCAAATAGCACACGTGGTATGCAGGCACTGGCATGTGAGGTGTGCGGCTACCTTGATGAGGTGGTTACACTTGGTGCAGCAAAGCTGAAAAACGGGTAAAAAAGAATACTTTATTGCATGATAGCTCCCCATCGCATAACGTGTGGCCCGACGTTTTGGATCGCTTTTTGGGCACCTTACGCCACAGACATGAAATGTAGATGACCTTTTACCAGTCCGACGTCCTCGTAGAGAATATCTTGTGATGAATTTCTCGTTAACGCCACTACACATGCACAATTTCAGGCGACGGCGGTGCAGGTCGAGCGGACGGAGCCGGAGGTGGTTCTAGAGCAGCCTGAGGTGCTGCTCAAGCCAGCCGCACCTGAGGAAGTCGACCTTCCCGACACTGCCGAAGACGTGGTGCCTCTGGATAAGCCCACGACAGAAGACACAGCTGAAGAGCTGGCGGAGGACGTCAGGAGCCCAGAGGACACGGCTGTGGTCCAGGAGGTTCTCGCAAAAGAGGCGGAGACTGAAGAGAGCGAGGTCATTGTCGAAACAAAAGTTGTCAAAAAGAAAAAGAGACCGAAAAAGCCCGAAGACACAGAATCACAAAAATTGGATGAGGCTCCTCAGGTGCCTGAGGAAAGGCAGAAAGCACCCGAGGAAGCGCCTGCCAAAGTGCTAGAGGCTCCCGAGGAAGCCCCTGAACCTACAGAAGAAAAGCCGTTCGAGGAAGAGGTTCAGAAAACTGACATTGGTGTTCCTGAGGAGCAGCCTGTCGCTGACAAAGAGCAGCCGGAGGTATGGAAGAGAGGAAAACCGAAAAAGAAGAAACCAAAAACCCCTGTTCAGCCAGAAGAGGTAAGCTGTCCCCTACGACTTTCAAAGTTAAGCCGCAAACAACGGTTACATTTAAAAACATGAAAACCCCTCACACGTGAGTGAAGTGCAGGAAGCAACAAATAGGTTGAGTTCATACTAAACCTTTCCGAAAACTGAAGATAAATATGCTTAATTTATTACCGTGGATAAAATTTGTGTTAATACCTTTCTGCATTTAGTTGGGCGATTCCAGTCATCGTGCGGTGTAGTCGTATCTTAGTTATGGTATTAACCATCTTTTCGCCCAAAAGGCTGCTCCGGCGGATACGGAACCCCTTCCTGAGAAACAGCCAGAAACAGAGGAGCTGGAGGTTGGTTTGGAAGAAAAATCTGAAGAGGAAATCACTCTAGTAGAGGAAACAGAAATATGGCGCAGGAAAAAAGACGAAAAGAAAAAGAAGCCCAAAAAGGTGACAAACACACACACGCACACGCGCACGCACACGCACACGCACACGCACACGCACACGCACACGCACACGCACACGCACACGCGCACACACACACACACACACACACACACACACACACACACACACACACACACACACACACACACACACACACACACACACACACACACACACACACACACACACACACACACACACACACACACACACACACACACACACACACACACACACACACACACACGTACACACACACACACACACACACACACACACACACACACACACACACACACACACACACACACACACACACACACACACACACACACACACACACACACACACACACACACACACACACACACACACACACACACACACATATATATATATATATATATATATATATATATATATATATATATATATATATATACCGATAATAACAAACATACCTTAAACCGACGATGTTCGCAAACATCTTAGTTTGAAGCGTTCATAAGTGTACATTGCACACTATAGACGCAACAGCTTCCTCGTTTGATGCATTTGCGCGATGTCATGACTGACCTGCCTGAATTTTCCTTCAAGGAGGAGGCTATTCCAGAAGGCGCTCCCACGGAACAGGTCAAACCCGATGAACCTGTCGTCACGCCAAAGAAGAAGAAGCCTCGGGAGGTCGAAATTCCGGAGGATAAGCCGGAGTGGCAGAACGCGAAGCTGAAACCGACAAAGAAGCCTGAAAAACCCAAACAGCCAGAAGAGGACATCGAGGAGGTGCAGCTGAAGCCTGTGGAGAAGCCAGAAGAATTGGAAAAGGTCGAGATAGAAGAAGTGGAAGTGAAGACCATTACGACAAAATATAAGGAGAAGAAACCGAAGCAGCCGGACGAGGAGGTGGAGGACCTAACGATAGAGCAGTTGGATGAGGTATTCTCAGCACCGTTTCTCAGCGAAAATGGGGCAGCTGTCGACTGACGTACTGTCGCTAACTCGCCAATGTTGTTTTTTTGCCCGAATCACCAATATTTTCTGATGTCTTCGTAGCACTGCATTGTCAGTGCCTTCCTGTATGTACATTCACTCTCTCATTTACATGTATATACGTGTTGTCTGGCTAACTACTGTGTTCTAACCCCGGTTAATCTTTATGCCTTGCCTTTATTTATTTGACGTGTTTGCGTAGTCTTATTTTGACGTTGGACATAACACGTCTCTGGCTGTATCCGCCCATCTTGGACGGAAGTTTCCCTCTCTGTACATGGTGCTCCGCAGTCATTGTTCAAATTATACTTTTCCAAGCAGCGGTGACTAATCATAATTTTGTTTTGCTTCCACGTCATTTTATCTGTGCGATCGTGACTACGGTTTAACTATGTGATTACTACAGACTACCAACCAAAGGTTAACTCAATGGCCTCGTTCTTTTATATCACATTCCTTGTAAGTCATCCCAAAAGTGTTAACTTAGTTACTTGTCAAGAAAACAGTGTCATTCATGCTTGATTGGCCTTTTTGCGCAGATAAAGCCCATTCACGCCATAAGCTAATATATTGCCTCAAACGCAGTATCGCACCTGCTCCTCAACAAAGTTCAGCTTGACACCGTCCGCGCCAGCAGCCCTTGCACGTGTTAACCCGATGGCGCCCGTCATGACCCCACATCTGACCCCGCCTGACGCCCCAGGCAACGGCCCGGCGCAAGATCAGCACCCTGGAGGCCTTCACACAGGAGGAGATCAGGGTGGACATGACGACTGAGGAGGTCCGCCAGTTCATTGTGGAGCGTGAAACGGCCGAGCGCAAGCTGTCCACGGTGGAGGCGCCGCTCGTGCAGGAGGTCACGCCCGAACTGCTCGAGGAAGAGCTGAAGAAGGTCACCGCTGACAAGGTAAGACCTGGCCCGGATGCTCCAGCCTGCAGCTGCGGAATGACGCCAGGTCTGTGAAGGGCAGCGTGGTCAGGGTCGTGCTCGGGCTTGTGAAAGGCAGCCAATAGGACGTCAGGGTCACGCTCGATCTTGCAAAAGCCTGCCAGTAGGACGTCAGTGTCGCGCTCGGGCCGTCAAAGGTGGGCACGGCAAGTCGAGAGAATAAACTACGATGCATACGCGGAAAAGCGCCTTCCTCTGAAAACTGATGCTGAATGTTCGGTGCGTCCAGCGTGGGCGATGCGTGGATGAGCATCTGTTACGGTTGGAACATTTCAAATTGCATATAGTAGCTCATCCAAAGATACATGCAATCCATCGACAATATCGGCACACATCCAACCATGTATGGCGAACGCCACACGATCTCTTGACAACTGAACCACTTGCACTGTGAATAACTCTAACTTTAGAAGGTGATGCATTTTTATACAGTCATGCGACTTGCCTCATAATCCGTGAATTCAGACGTGAAAACTGAAGCCCTTCATCACGCTCTAGCTAAACGGAAGGTGGCACCATACCTGCACATGTCAAAATGGCATGCACTTGAAACTGAACTTCGACCAGTGCAACCTTCACAGGGAATTCTCTCATCACTATCTTGCGAGCAGCCCTTTCTCGCACAGCTGTTCACGGCTGGAACTCACACCGCGTGCCGTCTCCGCACCGCGTGTGCCGTACAGAAACCACGCGACCAACGACGCATCTGCCGTCAGGTCGTTGCCGAGACGAAGCTGGCCGTCCTGCAGTCGTACACCGTGCACGAGATCAACCCGCAGACCACCGCCGACGAGCTCAAGACGTTCGTCGACGAGAGGGTGAGCAGCCGGCCCAGCTGAGTGCCCGCCGCCTCTTGGCGGCTGCATTGTCACCAAAGCCAGATCGCTGGTCGTTGTATGCCGACAGGGAATCCTAGAAAAGCGAACAAACAGAAATGGAAGCGTGTTCGCACGGGAGTGTTCGATTACTTACTGCGTTATTTGTTCCTGTGTCCGCGGTTAAGTTTGCATTGTTGTTTTGTTTCGTAGACAGTCCCAGCGGAGACCAGGCACTGCAGTTCAAGTGTATATAAAAACAAGCGCAACATATACGTGCAGTAAGCTTCGCCAGAATTCCAGGTGCCGGGTTGTTATGTGGCGCAAAGTATTTCCCGCGATTCCCGGTTGTCCAAAGTACCTCCCATGTCGGGCCTGCCCGGAGGGTTCACCGAGGTCATCGATGACTTGAGGTCATCGCTCCGCGCAAATTAACTGAAAAGCCACAAGCAATCCAGCGAAAATCAGCCGGGCCACGCGTCAAAACACGCTGCGCAACCGCTGTCTAAACCAACATCTGTGCCGCAGCACGAGGCGGAGCAAGTGTGGAGCACAGTAGAGACGCTGGAGATCGTGCAACCGGCGCAGGAGCACATCACCGACGAGATCAAGCACCTGCGCCAGGAGTGCGCGCTGGCCGAGGTCAAGCTGGACCTGACCGAGGGCTTCCAGGTGCAGGAGCTGCGACCCGAGCTCACCACCGACCAGCTTGAGACCTTCATCACCGAGCGGGTGAGAATGGGGCTCCGACTGGAGACCCTCCTCGGCCAGCGCAAGTGAGCTTCGATACTAGACCCGAAACTTCATCACGCGGCTCTTGTCTTATGCAGCGGGATGCCTGGTCCATCCACCAAATAATGGTCCTAATCCCAACAAACATGCGAAAAGGTGAGGTTCGAGGTTCGTACTGCGGCTGTTGGCCGTAGACAGCGCGAGGTCCATACTCAGAGAGAAACCTCGCGGGGTAAGCGCTAGCGCCCCACGGACAGCTTTGGCGCAGTCCGGTTAGCGCCTCACATTCATTGACTATCGTGATCGACCTCTGATCCTCTGATCCTGATCGACCCCTGAAACTCTGACCCTGATTGACATCTGACCTCTGATCCACAGCGGGACGCGCAGCGCAGGATCTCCACGGTGGAGTCTCTCAACATCCAGGAGGCGTCTCCGGAGGAGGTGGTCAAGGACCTGACGCAACTCCTCTCCGTCGAGGAAACCTCGGCCAAGATCAAGCTGGACATGCTGCAAACCTACTCTGTGCAGGAGGTCACTACAGAGAGCACGGCGGAAGACACAAAAACCTTCATCTCGGAGAGGGTTAGTGAACGCTTGGCTCTAGAATATCCGTGAGGGGAATTTTGCAAACGATGTAGTAGTAATTTTCGCCTCTGTTGTTTTGACCACTATTTGCGCCACCAATGCCCCTCATCAGTTATGCAGCAATTGGTACCGGAGTGTTCCACATTTATATGGGTTTTGGAACTGAAACAGCCATTTTGAAGATCGTTCGGTGCAGTTCACAGCCCTGCCCTTCTTGAGACGTAAAGCCGTCTAGTTTCGGAGTCACGCGTCCGCGAAGCTGTGCAGACATTTCGTGCGTACGTTTTCAAGGTCATTCAGGCATGCATGACCTCATAGCGACGCGATTCAACTTTTACCACCCAAGAGGACATGTGGCGCCCAAGACCATGAAGAGTGTCATGTGGCGCCCAAGACCATGAAGAGTGTCATGTGGCGCCCAAGACCATGAAGAGTGTCATGTGGCGCCCAAGACCATGAAGAGTGTTATCCCCGAGCCGTTCAGATCTGGCGTCCGTGGGCACGATTCCCAAATGTATTGAACCTCAATTGGCCCTCAATCGCTGTTCAGCAAGCTGCGCAAGTTTGAACCACGCATCACGTCTTGTGCTATCTAATAAAAAAGTCTGACATAATTCTTAGTTATTACGGAAGTAAGACTTGTAATCAAATAATTTAAAGTGTCGCAACTGGTTATCAAATGAAAGTAAATTTCTTAAACTGACGGAAAAATACGCGAAAACACCATCATAACAGGCCAAAAAACGAGCAAACGACGATATTTGGCTCAGCAAACACTTTCAGCACCGCAATGCCCCCCTCTCTCAGCCAGTTTGAAGGACGGCAAGTGAGTGCAAGGATGGCTATTTCGCCTGGCCAGTTTGGCAGCACCTCAAGGTCATGAAAAAGTTCACATGCCGCGATCATTGACGTTGAGGGGCGCAGTTACTAACTACAGAAACTGTATAGTCTGGTGATGTCTTTCCCACTTTCAAATAATAAATATTAACAAGTGCGCTTAATTTATTATGCCTAATGCTTGCTTCAGTACCTCTGAACGTGAAAAATTACCTGTAAGATTCAAAGTGACAAAAAGGGGTCTCCAGTATATCCGGAAGTGCTGGTGAAGCGACAAGACATCACAAATATTACCTTATAAGGTCAAAACGCGCTCGCTATATTGCCAAGCAAACCCTGCTCCGCTGGAGCTATTAGCCACCTACGATGCTTGACTGTATCTGCTGTTGTTTGTTTTGTCGGAACTTCTTGGTGCCGCCGCGAAACCTCACCAGCCAGAAATGAGGTATTTTTCAACGTCGTTACGTCGCACCCACAGTAGACCCACTTCCTTCCTCACCATGTGCCACGCCCCCGCTTTCAGCACGAGGCCGAGCAGGTGCTGTCGACGGCGCTACAGTCGGCGCAGACTACCGAGGTCAGTCCGGCCTTCGTGACATCAGAGATCGACCACATCCGTACGGAGAAGGCGCACGCACTGAAGCACCTGCGGGAGGTGCAGCCGCAGGCCGTGCAGGAGATGGAGACGCTCCTGCAGACTACTATCGAGCTCAAGAAGTTCAAGGTGCGTTCGATGCTGGGCCTGTCCTGGGCGGTGAGGACATGGTGTTGGTCGCGCGAGATAGGATGACGCAAGGTAGCCTCGCCGCCAGAGTGTACGGTTGTGACGCGTCGCCTGCTGGACGTCTGGGTTTCACCATTTGTTTGTGGCGTCTTGTGTTTGGCCTTGTTTTAACACATTTATGAAAATCTTACCCTCTTTCTTTTGTTATATTCTCTTTTGATAAGTCTTTGGAAAAGCTGCCCTCTTTTTTAGCTCCGTTTTTGTTTGCCCATTTTTTCTCTCTTTCTTTCTGTGTACCTATGTATTGTCCTGCTGTCTGACTGAAACGCACCTCGCTTGCCGTCACGTGACTAACTGTGTTCATAACCACTCCACGGCAGAATTTCGACTGGGACTACTTCTATGGGACGGTTACGGTCGCGTACACCGTCTACTTGCTGCCAGATGGCAGCTCAGAACACTTCCGTATAGAGCCGGTAGAGAGCTACCGCTCTTCTAAATAGTTCAACCTGAATAGCGCAAACTTCTGCGTAACTGTAGCCCATTGCTGTTCATATTTTCTGTCTGTCAATCAGTGAAAGATTTATGTTTACATCACTCAAAGAACATAAATGGAATTATCCACGGCCCCGTAACTTCTCGAAGAGACGGGAAGCATACTTAGTGTAAAGATTTTGCGCCAAATCAGCGCATTAGCTGAGTCAAATCCGCCAGTGTTAAGTGTTCACAATGGCGGTGTATGTCTTTGCGAGAATAAACCAATGGCTAAAAAGCATCGAATTGCTTGAACGCAAGCGGATCTTGTGACTAATACTACGGATCATCGGCAAGTACAAAACTACTGATTCTCCGCTTTATTTTATTACAGTATAACCGTCGCAAGGGCGTGCTTTTTTGGTTGTATTCTTTCATAGGCATAGAAAGCATTAGTTGCATACCCCAATCCGCTCACGCGTCGGCAGGGACGCACCCGGGGCAAGAAGTTGGACGTCGCCTGATTGGCGCGTGGTACAAAATACTCCCATGTGTAACTCGCTAGTCATAACTCTTCACTGAAGCATACCCTGGGTGCGACCCCGACCGCGTGATGCCCATGTATGTAGCACACTCGTATAGGCTGTATTAGGCTGGCCGCTCAATAGTAACTCAAGCACTTACCAGTTCGTGTTCCGTGTGGTGATCAGTACATCCAATTTTGCCGCCACCGACACCGTTTTGCTTCCTGAGAGCAAGAGTGTTGCTCAAGCTACAAGCGCGAAAACCACCAACTGGACAGCCGCGCTGTTCACGTGTGTCGTAGCAGTCTGTTACTAATGAATTACCTTCCACGTATTATCCATATGGCCTCTGACTTGTATTTACCAATAACGACCAGGTGACTTTTTTGGCACTTGATGCTTAATGCAGGTAACCTCGCGAATGAACCATGATCAGCGTTATAATGGAGCGTAATACATCTCAACGTAGCCATGGACATTTCAGATTGGCCATGAACGATTTTTCACCCGTCATGCGCTTTCCCAGCGGCGTAATGGATGCCATCTTTGCAGTGGGACCGGCCATCAGACTACATCCCGCTGGCCAACACGTTTGTTCTGCTTCCTTTCCGATCGCGACATCAAATTCGCCAGTGTGTTTTCGTATTCCATGAAACATGAAGTACAACAGAAATATCGCGACTAGGAAGTTCGCCAGCCCACGTCTGCATACTTGTGAAGTAAATGGTAATGGTTCTGACTACCGTTTCAGTATATAACTGATTCCGCAACCGAGACTGCCGAGCAAACTACGCTGGCGAAGGCGATCGCGAGCAAGACTGAAACATCTGTCAAAGGTTAGTGTTTAGTGTTATCCATCACACCAGCCTCCGGGCGGGACATGTGTGTTCAGTCCAAGAATGCTGCGTAAAAGTCCCTTGCGACTGTGCCGACCCCACCATGCAATACTCATGTGCCCCGCATGGTTTGACTCGTACGTGCTTTACATTCAGTTTCTGACAAGGACTATGTAATGCACACCTAATGCTGCTAAAGTGCGGATTTGCGTTTTGTCTCCTCGCTTGATAACGTGACCAGTCAGATGTCTAATAGTGTTTTTACAAGGGTCATGTAGATAAACCTCACAAGCATCTGAGGGAGCCAAAACATATCCAACTGTTGTTGGCAGTAGCACCTTCGGAGCACCCGATGCCTCAGCGTTGATTTGCAAGCCATCGAGCTTAGCTTGCATGCGTGGAAGGCTTAGTAACCGTCTGTTTTGTTTGGTTTTTGTCCGCCTCGCTTTCCGTTTTGTTCCGTTCTGTCCCCGGGTGGCACGCCGCGTGGTCTGCCTGCCGTCTAACCGTTTGTTCCGTCTGTCCAGCCGGCGTCCGACAGATCCGGCCCCGCCACCCGCCGACACCGCCCTGGACAGGAGCGCACCCTTTCCGCTGGCGGCCCGACCTGCCGCGCTGCTCGCTTGCCTGGCCGTGCTCAGTCCGCGCTTGACCCAACCGCGTGACCGCAGCCCTTGCATGGCTGCCCCGCTCCCCGCTGCCGACCGGAGACGGAGTACTGGACATCAGGAGATGACGTGCTCGACGGCACGCCCCTCCCCCTCCCCCTTCGTGCACGCTGCCCCGATGCGCGGCTACCGGATTATCGCATATGATGTCAGTTTGTGTCCCCTTGATGAGTACAGCCGCATGCGCTGTTATGGATGTAGGTGGTGCCGACCGTCAGCTAATCGCGTGCTTTAAATTTTATGTGCTAACAACGCGTTCGCTGAAACGCTCATGTTTTGCGATGCGTGCTGCTTTGTGTGTATGTGACTTCTAGATTAAGCACGGTGATCATTCAATTCCAGCGCCGGTATATTTGTGCCAACAAAGGAGGCCTGGTCTCTTGTGATCAAGTATGGGGGCCAGGTCACATGATAACAGTGACGACATCAGTCAATATGCAGTTTCGGCTGACTAGTAAACTAGCTTAGGATTGGTAATAAGTAGAGCCGGTCGACTTGATTTCATTTAAGATGCATTCCATCCCCTGCTTTTTTACTGACATGGTACGTGGCTATGCGTTAGATATGCCCTGTATGCGATGTGCGTCGTCTTATGCTATACACGAACATTTTGATAATAAACTAGAAGCGTATGTGGCGTATGACGTGGCACGAACCCATCGCTCCGACAGTGTGTCCACACCAAGTGTTTCAGCCGTTTTACTCGACCTGTGCCATTTACAGACAAGAGAAAGAAACCGAAGGAAAGAACTGCGTCTGTTGAGCGTCTTCCAGGTTGGGTTTCGGTCCTGCTGCGCTTTCCTCTTCTCTGTCTCAGCGATCGTTTCCGACTCGAACGACTCTCTCTGTCGCCACTCTGTCGCGTGCTGTCACCCACGGCCACTCACCCGCTGTGTGCGCGTTATTTTCTTCCGGCTGGCTCTCCGTATGACAGGCTCGCCGACGTGGGGCCCCGTTCTAACCGGCGGCGGTGACGTGACCCAACGACAAGCCCTTTACAGCCGGGCGTGAAGCGCCTAGCACCGCTGCGCTACCATCTGTCATCTGTCTCTCACCCACTCGCCTCGCCGCTGCGCCACCATCTGTCATCTGTCTCTCACCCACTCGCCTCACCGCTGCGCCACCATCTGTCATCTGTCTCTCACCCACTCGCCTCGCCGCCGCGGCGCTGACGCGTCTTCGCGGCTCCGAACGGTTTTCTATCTGCGCTAATGTTTCCGAAAGCCGTCTCTTCTGACGGGGAGCCCAGGGACGCAATCCTCCAGCGAATAACACTGGCGTGACGTGGTGCGATCCAAGTAACTGGCTGCATGCAGGGTAACATCCCTTGTTGTGGGTTGGTGGAACGCTAAAATCCGCCTGCCGCCAAGCGTCACTCCATTGCTGATTGAAAGTGCTGTGATATGAGCAGCATCGGACATATTTGAGATCACAGGCGCAGCTATAAGGCGGATTTTTCCAGTTTCAAGAGTGTGATTGCAATTCGAACTATGACTTGAGTGTGAGAGCCAGTCTCGTACTGAACGTGTAACGTAATGCCACAGCCATGGCGCATTTGCCGTAGCACCGAGCAGATGGGATACAGATACGAAGGACTCTTGATTCCTACTTTGTAGTATCTCTTTCTCTCTCAATTTTGCCACTCGGTGTTTTTTTGTGTGCTCTCTACTGGTTTGACCTCTGCATCCATGGGTTTTCATGGACCTGAAACTGTATTTTTGCTTTGAACTCCGTGAATGTACGTGAATTTTATATGTTACCACCGCCCAACGAGGGCACAATTATAAATATGAAATACATGAAATGCTGGAACACCAACGAAGACTATCTACCAGGACATCACCAAGGAAAAACCACAAAACTGGCGATAAACGATAGCGAGAAGAATAAAGCGCTTAAACGCGTAACCAGGAGCAGCTGGCGCTTGCGATGCTCCGTCTTTCGCTCGCCTCTCTTCTCCGCCTGTCCTTCCTAACACCAAATAACCTCTCGGCTCTAAGCATCACGGTCTACAGCAGGCTTTGGGCCAATAATCTGGCGTTTCATGGGGTTTTGCTCTGTGCTACGCTTTGTTGTGCGACTGTTACTAGCCTGTTGTGCGTCACTTGCAGAGGGGAACTGCTTTTTATTCCCCACACTGTTTTTCTTCACGTTTCTAAATGAAGATGCTCGAGAGATGCCTAACTAATACATGCAGCTTCAGGTGACTTTGTGTCCTGCGGCAATCACCTTGGAAATGAGCCTGTTTGGCACAAATCTCGAACATTTTCAGCCTGTTAAGAGAACTTCTGCAGCTTCTTCGTTGTGAACATTGATGTGTATCTCACCGCGTACCCTCGATCGCAACGTCCGTCGTCCTTGCACGACAAACACTCCGGCAGTTGACAACAGCCCGCCATTGCATCATAACCCGTCTCACTCAGATAACTGTAAACATTTGCCTTCTGTTTGCCGGGTAACAAGCTAAGTAGCCAGTGCGTCAGATTCGGGTACGGTATGGCTGGCTGTTGTCTCCCATATCGCTCCAACATCCTCTACCCCAAAGGTCTCTAGTGCGTTCTCCAGCACAGTGCGGGATACCGTGTTCCGCCTGCTCTTCGGTGTCTGTCTCATTCAGGCTGCTGCAGTTGTTGTTCTGATGTAGTAGAAGGCCATTGCTCTGGCCGACATGCACGGCGTATGACACAACTAATCACACTATCATGACTGACATGTGAGTGCTACGCTTCCTTGCTTGTCGGTCAACGGTAGTGACCATTGTTTGCCGGTCTCACGAAGACTCAATGTGGCCAACATTTTTACTCGAAGTTACAATTGTTCAAATTTCTTGCAGCAAATGTTCCGCCGACATTATTGAAATTCCTCACGTACTTCTTAGCAGAGCTTGTTGAAATCAATGTTCATTCTAAAAAATGCAAAGTCACGTTCTACAGTCATGTATAGGAAGGACATATAACAGTCATCAATGAAAAGCAATCATTAATGTGAAAATCGATAATGATCAATCGTTAATGTGAAAGTATGCCTGGAAATGTAGCACCCATATGACAGAGAACGGTGATGCTCGCGTACTTTTGGGCGCATCGGAATGGCAGCAGGCAGTGCGTCATATATGGCTCTAGTCTCTTCTCCTCGATGTGAGAGCCAGGTATCTGTTTAATGGACTAAACCTGAAAAGCTTCACTCACCAAGTGGGTGCTAATCTGAGATGTCTGCTCTCATCCTTTGGCCCCGAAGCACTTCAGCTCAGCTCTGTAACAAAAGCGCGTAATCCGTAAACGCGAACAATTAACGGCCTTAAATATATAGGCTTAAGGAGGGCCAACGATTGGCGAAGCAATCACTCTGTTCAATATATTCATAACAATAGTCATTGCAACAACCCAACACAAATCAATATTGGTTTCCAGTGCAGTACAATTATATTTGCCCGTCACAACACCGCTGGTGTCAACCATGTGTGGTCTGGGTTCAATACTTTATTGATCTTGCGAATAAAGCTCTGAACCGAATTGCATCAAATACTTTTAACTACTGATATAACATCGGCAGCACCAAAGCTATTTCACAAAGCAACAACTAAAGAGTACCAACAATGTTGTAGGCAACACCAGGTCAATCACAATATAACCCACGCCTGAACTGATGCGGTAGTGTATTTCTCTTCGTGTATGAAACTGAAATGTCGTGTTTTCATCTTGATAACTTACTCGCCATTTTGTTTCTGTGTCTATGGGTTTTTGTCTGTATTATTTGGCTCGACTTTTGCACGGACAGTGCTGTTTGAACACTGGACTGATGTCATTTTGTATGTTTCGTCATTATCACCACAATGTGGCGCACGCAATATACTCGTGAGTCTGTTTTCGCCGGAGCGAAACGAAGCCTGTGATAGTTACATTTTTGTAAGACATTTTTTCCTTCGATGGATGTGACTTTCTCTGTCCTTCACCTCTCCGCCTTTGCATGCTAATAACATTGAAATATTAGGGATCATATCAGTCCCTCGCTGCGCCCCACCTCAGTGTTGTGGCATACCGAATAGCCGGTTAATCCCTGCGGTGAGTTCTGCTTCATTCATTAAAAGTCCCTCGTCACTTTCCATAACGTGATGTTTAGTTGAGCAACCACCACGATGTTTAGTTATTTTCCCTGTGCATGGTCTGCATGTCCCTCACCAAACCCCGGCATTACAGAAATTCCCACTGAAGACCTCGAAGAAGCTGTCACTGACGACGACAGGTCTGTCGTCCCGACAGAAAAGATTGACAAGTCGGATGCCGTGCAAGTCAGCGAGGTTGTTCTGCAAGAGCAGACAGAGGACAAGACCGATACCTTGAAGCTGATCACTGGCGAGGGCAAACCGTCGACGGAAATACGTCGGGATAACATGATCACTGTGGAGACCGTACAAACTGACGAATCCGTGGACCAAGTTCCAGTTATGAAGTCCGTCTCTGACAGAGCGCGAGTGTCACTGAAAGGCCAGGAGCCAATTCAAGTGGAAGAGACTCTTCCCGATGAGACTTCAGTGCTTAAAACAGATGTTCTGGCAATAACCAAACAAACAACGGAGATAACACTAGTCACGAGCGACAGACGGCTCCCAGAAGTAATATCGGTAAGTGCAGACGAAACTACGGACGAGATCAAGGACACCAAACGCCCAGAAGATATGGCAGAGGCGTCAATATTGCCTCAGATGTCCGTCCAAGTCACAAAGCCTTGCCCAGAAGAGACTGTGGGGGATTCGGGCGAACAAATGCTGGTGGACAAGAAAATATCAAAGATTTCCACGGTTATCACAGACATGCGAGCACCTGAAGTGCAGGCAACCACATTGGAGGAAACTACTCATGCAGTTGAGTTTGATAAACCAAAGCGGGACGTCGGAAAGATTGGCCTGAGCCCACAGGAGGCCGTGCAGGTGACAGCAACACATCCTGATGAGTTAACTGAGGACGAAACGCCGATGCAAGTGACAGAAAGCCAGACTACGAGCGCTAGCCAGATTCTGGCAGCAAGACACGTGCCTGAGGTGCACGAGACGCAGCTGAAGGAGACTGCAGAAGAGGTGAAACCGCTGGATGTTACTGAGAAGGTCGCAGGCGAGGTATTCAGGCCCTTGTACCCTCTTGAAGTAACGGAAACGACATCTGAAGAAATGTCCCAGCAGTCTAAAGATACGTTAGTTTTAGACGTAAGAGAGTCAAAAATATCGCAGGTCATACGGGAAATGAGAGCGCCTGAAATCATTGATGTCGAAATGGAGGAAGCCGCAGAACCGACCGATCAACCAGTGACAAAAGAGGAGCGGGTAGATGTAACGGTGAGCCCTCAAGAGCCAGTAGAAATACAGGAAGCGCACCCTGATGAGCAAACGGAGGACAAGCCTGACGACATCATCGACAGGTCGCAGACCGAGATAACACAGATAATCACTGAGCGGCATGCTCCAGAAGTAGGGGATGTTACAGCAAAAGACGACGTTGGCGCCATTCAAGAATTCGTCACAGCACCGGCAGAGGCGACCCCCACCTTGAAGCCAGAACAGCCGATTGAAATTTTCGAAACGACCCCCGAGGAGGCCACCACAGATAGCACGGATAGATTGGTCACAGACGCCAAGACCACGCAGGTCACTACTACCATCTCAGACATGAGAGCACCAGAAGTGCAAGAAACGCTCCCGAAATCAACAGCTGAGGACATTGTAGACTTTGTGATGCCTGAGGACACCGCTCAGATGGACGTCATCAGGCAAGAGCCGGTAAATGTCACCGACATTGCCACCGAACAACGTTCCGAAGATTTTGAGAAGACACTGGTGATGGACGAAAAGAGAACCTCTATTTCAACCGTTTTACAGGATATGCGTGCCCCTGAAGTTCAGGAGGTGCAGCAAAAAGAAGACGTTGGTGACGTTGCTGAATATACTCCCAAAAAGGATTCTGCGGACACAAATGTTGTTGTCCAGGAGACCATCATCACCACTGAGACGTCCACAGTGGAAATGTCTCAGGACACCAGCATGTCGCTGGAAACCACCCGGTACAAAGGTGAAGAGAGCACTGTTCTGGGTGAGCGGAAGGCTCCCGAAACTTCACAACTCATTCTGAAGGACACTGTATCTGATATTGAAAAATTGGATTACGTCGATGACAAGGCCGTGCCTTTAGTCAGTACACAAAAGTCAGTTCAGGTGCAAGAAATTGTTGCTTCAGAGAGCGAAACGGTTTCAAAGGCTCTGAAGCCTGAAGCGTTCAGCGCGGACCTGGAAATCACCACGCAAAAGTCGGTGACGGTTTCGGAAACAAAGACCACTGATACAGAAGAGCCGCTTGTGTTGGACGAAGTAGCACCCTGGCGGAGGGCCAAAAAGAAAGCTCCCGAAAGCCGCTCGATACAAGTGATGGAAATTGAGTCAAACGAGGCTCCGGTGGAAACTACGGACTTCGTGGCGTCTGGGGAAACGGCTACCACAGACGTGACCATATCGAAGTCAGTTGTGACCTCTGATGTCACTGCTGTCGAAGATGTTACGGAAATTACTGACACGGTCATTAAGAAAATAACTGCCCACCCGACTTTGGATGAGCACGTACCGGTTGACGTTGAAACTTCGGAGGTTTTGGATACACAAGGTGATCTAAAGGAACCAGTAAAGCCGGATACCAAGAAAGCCATTAAAGTTGTGTCCGAGACCAGTGCAGTGACCATCGAAGAGAACGTCACAGGTGAAAATACAGGAGCAGTCAGTGAGGAAGAGACGCCAAAGAAGAGAGCGCAGCCCCGAGTGATGCCCGTCGAGGGGCTCGAGATCACTGAACCCGAGACCGGTGGCGTGACTCGGGAAATGGCCGAGCCTGACTATGGCGACCAGACGGTCTCGGTCGAGTTAATCCCTATGCAGCCCGTGAGCGTGACGGAGACGCAGCCAGGCGGCTCGGAGGTCCCGCTGGAACGGACCGCCGCGCCGGACAAGCGCCGTGGTGTCACCGTGCTGCCAGAGTCCGTGCCCGTGCAGGTACAGGAAACGGAAGCAAGCGAATCTGAAGCGCACCTTGGCGAGGCGGCGAAGCCGCACCAGGAGCGGGCCGACACGGCCGTGATGCCGCAACGCAGCCTCACCACCACGGAGGCGGATGTTGCCGAGGCGCCCGAGGAGCTTCGCACGACGCCGCAGAAGCCGGCCGTCGGTCGGCTGGAGCTGGACGAGATGGCTGGCCTGCAGGTGGCTGAGTCCGGCACTCTGGACGTAGAGAGTGAGCTGGAGGAGCGGAAACCAGGCTCGGATGTTGCGCGTGTGGAGGTCGCAGCCTCCAAGTCAATCACCGTATCCGAGCAGACAACACAGGAGAGCGAGACAATCTTGCAAGGAGAGGAGCTGCCTCAGCAGCAGTGTTCTTATGCTTCCTTGCAACCTCTGGAAGAGATACAAGTCAGTGAGAACCAGCAACTGGTTTCCGAAAACGTTTTTGTCTCGCCAGATACACCCCGCTTCGAAGAAGCAATGATTGAAATTGACCAGCAGTTGAAGGTAATATCAACGACTGAAACGGAGGCCTATCAGGCAGAAAGGACACTCACGGAGGTTGTTGATTCCGGGCAGGCCAACGTTGAATTTGTTAAAAGCCAAGGCCTAATCGTGTTAGGAAATGAAGACTTGGTATCCGAAGACACGTTTAAGCCTGACCAGATACCAAAAACCCAGCTAGCTGCTGTAGATGTCGACACTGTTCAAGGCGTGGAAATTCGACGTACGGACGTCATTGAAGAGTCCGAAAAACTCCTCGACGAAGAAGTTACCAGACCCAAAACGGCTACCGTGCAACTGGACGGTCACACTGTCCCCACGCTTCTCGAGAATGTTGACATGCAAACTGAGGACACTATGCCTGAGGACTTTAAGCCAAAGTCTCACGCTGCCGATGAAACGTTAGACCACCTGGAGTCCTTTGTCACAACTTCCGAGTTTATCATGCAAAAGGAAGGAACCTTCGTACAAGACACCATGGATATGAAGCAAGCGGAACTTACACTGCTGTCCCATGAACAAACGCAGACGACAGAGGCACCTGTGCTGCAATCCGAAGAGACAATGGAAGACGTTGAGGCACCAACATCGAAAGATGCAAGGGCGGATATTGTGCCATTGATGAGGATCGCTGTTGAAGCAGATAACGTGGTCCTGTCGGCAGAAGAACAGATATCACGTGTCACTCCCTCAGCGGATCAAGCTACTGTTTCAGTACCGGAATCCAGAAGTGTTATCGTTCAAGAAACTGGAGCTGAGGAGAAAGAGGATGACTTCGCTGACATTAAGAAGCCAGGGGCATTGACAGCATCTTTCAATGTCGGCGAAAGTGAGTCAGTAACAATTGAGGAGTCGAAAGTTCTCCACAGAGAATCTCAGTTGGATGACTTCAAACGACCACGAGGATCGGAAGCTTCAGAAACCGTTCTTACATCAGAAGGATTGGGCGTACAGGAATCTGAGACTATGGAGACTGAGGAAGAACTCGCTAAAATGAAGAAACCACACACAGAAAGAGCCCACCTTGAAATGAGCGCGTCCGAGTCTGTCACGATGTCCGTGGACACTGCGGTGGAGTCAGAAGAATTCGCAGATACAAAGCTCGTAACCAACAAGGTCCGAGCCGATTTCAAAGTCACAGAACAGGAAGGAATATCCGTGTCACTCGACGAAGCACTGTTACAAGATGAGCCAAGTAGGGATTTCGAGAAGCCTACGACAGAATTAGCTCACGTCAAGTTTAGGACATCAAAAGGTGTGGATGTTTCCGATATTGGGCCCATGGACAGCGAGGCGCCTATGGAGGACTTCAAGTCTGCCCCATCAACGGAGGCCACTGTGGGAGTTTCGTCCCGTGAGGGTGTTATCATCCAATCGTCTGCGTCATATGTAAAAGAAGGCGAAATGCCTGAAAAACATGCTCTCCAGGAAGAGGAGGCATCATTATCTGTGATGCCACAGATATCTACGACGGTCATGGAGCAAGGACAGTATGTGAAAGAGGGCATTCTAGCTGATGAGAAGACGAAGTCGGAGCCAGTGCGTGTCGGATTCTCAACAGCTGAGGGAATAGAAACACTGCAAGAAGGTACCCTCGATGTGGAGGGAGAGCTGGCCAAGATGAAGATGCCAAGGGATGAACAGGCCACCATGCAGATTACGGAAAGAGAGGGTCTCATGATCGAAGAAAGCACCGACCTCCTTAGCGAAACAGCTTTCGACGACAGACTAACACCCGCCACCAACTCTGCTAATATAGAGATGTGTACCCTCACTAACATTCTTGTATCAGAGATGTCTGAAACATTTAAAGAAGCTCCGTTAGACGAGTTCCATACTCCCTCGCATGAGCACCCCTCCGAGTCCATGACGTCAACGCAGACCATCACTGTTACCGAGACTGAGACAGGTGAAACACTTGGTGACCAAGTGGCCGAATTCCACTCCGTTCCCTATTCCGCCACCCAGGAAATTTCGCCCCTCCAAGGTGTTTCAGTGACGATGACCAGCAGCGACGAACGGCCGGCTGACCTGGACGACTTCAGCAGCACGAAAGCAGTGGCAGAAACCGACATCACCACCCACCATGGCTTCATGGGCAGTCAACAACAGCGCCTAGATACTGAGGAGACTTTCGAGAGTGAGGCCCTGCCAGGCCAGCACCGGGCCGAGGTAGGTGTCGGGGTCTCTGAGACCGGGGTCACCACCGTTGTGGACCAGAACGAAATGGAGGATGAGTATGTGCCGGGCAAGATTCCAGGCACCATTCAGCTCGAATCCCATGTGATCCCAAGTGAGAGCATGCAAATAGAAGAGGTGCATCCAGACGATGGTACAGGGAAATTCTTCCCAGAAGAGTTTGTTGCTACGGAGAAGGCCGCTGAACGGCTACTTCCACACAAAAGCGTTTTGGTGAAAGCAGCTGAGACCAATGAACTGGAGGAAGACTTGCCTGATTTAAAGATGCCTACCTTACTAACACCTCATGGTGATATCGTACCAGAGCACCATTTAGAAGTGGAGGAAACACTTCCAGAAGACATGACTGGTAAAATCTTGCCCGAAAGCTTTGTTGCCACTGAGGTAGCAAAGAAAAAGATCATTGGGTTCCGGGGCGTGGAGATTTCTGAGACCACTACAGAGGAGATTGAACAGGACATGCCGCGAGCAAGCGAACCCACAAAACTGCAGGGTATCGGCACTATTGAGGAAACCGAAGCTATGAAGGTTGAGCAAGTGATGCTTACCGAAGAATCATCTGAAAAGACGCCAGATCTAGTGGAAATGGAACATGGTGTCGTTAGATTAGCCGAGCCGTATAAGGCAGCCACAGTGGATGTTGTGTCGAGTGGTGACGTGGAAAGTGACATGACTGATGTTGTGAAACCTGACGTGCATGAGGCTGATAGTTCTGTCATTACCGTACAACCCATTGATGTGTTTGAGGTCAAACCAGCCGATACCGAGGAATCCTTTGACACTGACGCCCTTCCGTCCATCCGCGCCCACACTAGGCTCAGCCCACAAAACACTCTTCAAATTTCAGAATTCCCCACTGAGTCCTCCCCCGAGGAGTTCACTCCCGATTCCCGTCGAGAGGCGAGCGCAAAGACGGGGGTCGTCGAGCTACAGGCGGTCATCACCGACGAGGCGCGTCCCGAGGACGTGCACGGTACGATGGCCGAGGACACGACCGCTCCCGCGACAGCTCGCACCGAGGTTCTCGAGCAGCATTCTATCATCAGCTCGGAGGTCCGAAGCGACGAGAAAGAGGACCAGGTAGCGCCGTTCAAGGCAGCCGAAGAAGTGCCCGACGCGAGCACGCAACTAGTGACCCGACACACCGCGCTGATGACTGACATCGCTACCGGAGAACGTACTGGGGAGTATGTGCCGGAGCAGCCCACCACTGCCGCCCCTCGCGAGGAGCTGGTTGAGCTCGAGGCGCCCGTCAGGGAACACTTCGAGCTGGGCGAAGTAGAGGGTGATTTTGAACAGCATGAGCTTCCGCACAAGTGGCACGCCATTCCGAGGTCTCAATTAACCCAAAGCAAGGTAGTCGAATCGGAAGACATCACTAGCTTTGAAGTGGAAGAGCAGTATAGTCCCACCGAGAAGCTTTTGCCAGAAAGGAAGCCCACAGTGACTTTGGTGGAACAAATCGGAATTCAGGGAACCGACGATGTGGCTCAAGACAGGGAGGGCCTCATAGATGACCAAGAGGCTCCCGAACAACAACTTGCTGACCTGGAGCTGGTTCCTCAGCAAAATATCATCACGGCAGAAGTGAAAGTCACAGAAGAGGGCACTGACTACGAAGTCGCTGACGTCAAGACTGCATCCGCAGAACCTACTCTTTTGGAGCTTCATTCAATGCAAGGCACAGTTACCCAGCCTGCAGAAATGGAAACCGACTTTGCGCCCGAGGACAGAAATATAAAGAAACCAACAGTAAGGATGAGCATCACTGAAAAACGGTCAGCTCAAATTGAGGATGTTCTCATAAGCGAAGCTGAAGACGTTTTTACACCAGGAAAGTTGAACCAGGTGCGGCCAGTGAGTTCTTATTCCGAACAGCGATCTGTTACTGTGACTGAAGTGGCACCTGATTCCCAGACCAGTGATTACGTCACTGGTGATAAACCGGAAGGGAGAAACGCTGATGTCTGCTTTTCACCCGTGGAGCCTGTCATTACCGAAGACACAAAGTCTGAAGAGGCCGAGAAGGACTTCGAAAAATTCGTGTATCCCACGGAATCCGCAAAACAGACGTTAACGGCGAGCAAAGGCACCACTGTATCTGAGATTACTACAGGCGAACTGGAATCGGAATACGTTCCCGAAACAACGCCCGATGTGCAAAAACTGAAAAGCGCGGTGGAACTCACGGAACGTAGAACGGCTATCGCTCACGACGTGGTACCGGAGGAGAGGGAAGGCCACAAAGAGCAGTTCGTTACAGACTCCGTACAACTGGAGGGTCGAATCTCCCCTCAAGAAGGCATCACGGTTTCTGAGGCTCAGGCCGACACGAGGGAAGAGACTCTTGAAGGAAAACCATTCCCGTCCATGGCCGACGCTAACATCGGATTCACGACGAAGCAGGCTTATGATACGACCGAAGTGACTACCGAGGAACTGGAGGAGAGATTCGAGATGAGACCGGATAAAACATGTACCGTCGAAGAGTCGTTCACTACACAGGAATCTGCGGTTTACAGCGAAATCGTTACTAACGAGTTCGAAGAGGAATACAGCCCGAAGCAGCTTCCAAAAACCGCCGAGGTTGTTCCATCTACCAATGTGGTGTCGCAGAAAGCCGCAGCTACATATGAAGTTGAGGTAGACGACAAAGAGGAATGGTATGACATCCAGGAAGAAAAGCCCCGAAAGCCAACGGAGAGTATCTTGGATCAGGCAAGTCTCATTGTTTCTGAAGTCGTCACTGATCAGAAAGAGGGCCGTTTCAGGCCAGACGAAATCCCGGATTCTACGACCGCAAAGCTTGATGTATCGCTATTGAGCCCTCTTGAAACCATAACAACAGAAACAAGCGACAACACAGAGGAGTGGACGGCAAGTGCAACTAAAACGCGAAGTGCCACCACTACTATGATAGAGCAGACCTCCGTTGACGTATCGCAGGTGGTGCAGAACGAGCGCGAGGAAGATTTCCGTCCGGACATTGGGCCCGTCACGTCTGAGGCCATACAGAAACTCACGCTGGAATATAGAGCTCCTCAAGTGAGCCAGCCCGAGGCGGACGAACGTGAAGAGTGGTACGACGCTGAGGAAATAGATACCCGCCGGTCCAAAGTCGAAGTTGTCGAGCAGCGTACGCTGCAGGTCTCGCAGGTTGTTACGGACGATAAGGAGGGAGAATTTTTGCCCGGCGAATCTCCCAAGGATAGACGGGCATCGCTAAAGGTTTCACCAATGGAGCCAACGTCAGTAACGGAAGCTGTGGCCAACGAAGGCGAGGTGCCGTTCGACTCCAAACCTGACAGCAGTACTACCGCTAATGTGGAAATTATTCAGCAGGCGTCCGTTCTCACGGAGCAGGCGGACACCGCCGAAAAAGAAGATCGCTTTGAACAACATCAGGTCCCTGGAGAGGCTATGGCATCGGTTGATACGATAGCACCGTGGACACGTGCTCCTACCGTCGATGAGATAGAACAGTCAGAAACCACCGCTGACTACCACGTGGGCGATGTGCAGGTCAAGAAACCTGGTGTGATCATTCTCGAGCAGGATTCCGTCATGATCACTGAGTCTGTTGTCCAAGAAAAGGAAGAAGTAGCTAACGATTTCCAAAAGCCAAAGGGCAAACAAGCGATCATTGACCTTTCACCCCAGGAAACCGTATTGACATCCGAAGTCTTGGCGGATGAACGTGAAAAAACCTTCGATTCAAAGCCGGACATCGGAGTTCAAGCAACAGGCAGCATGACTGGGCAGCCTGTGGCGCTGACTTCGGAAGCTCTCCTATCAGAGGAAAGTGAGATGAAGGAAGATGTCACCTTGGATACTTCGATGGCGAACCAAACGACAGCAATTGTACATATGCGCTCCGCTGTCTCTGAACAGCCAATTGTTGGTGAAAGGGAAGAGGTTTTCAAAGCATCAGAAGTGCAACAAGCTACGCCAACTGAACGTATCCTGGGCCACGACACGGTTGAAGTAACTGAAGTAGCACCGGAGACCAAAGAGGTTGTCTTCCAGCCGGGAGAACTTCCTGACAAGAGGTTGGCAAGTGTTGTCCTCGATGCCCAGGTGGCAGTCACTAGTGCCGAAGTAAATACCACAGAAACTGAGGAGGGTTTCACGCCGACAAAATCCCAGCAAGGCTCCGCAAAACCCCTCATAGACGAGCAGCTCACTACAATCGTTACTGAAACACAACCAGAAGAGACCATGGAAGAAACTACAACAATTTTACCGTCCGGTGAAACTGTGCAGGCGAAGAAGACAGTAACCACAAGAAGCGTGACAACAGTCTCAGAAGTTGCTCTTGACGATGCTGTGGCAGACTACGAGGTGACTGCGATGGCGGAAAAAACCGCCAAGACATCAGTCGACCAACAACGAGGGGTGGAAGTGAGCCAAGTTCAGCCCACGGACAGCGAGCAATTATTGGACGAGTTTGTGTCTGACACAAAGAAAGCTCTTGTAGACTTTGAGGTTCAAAAAGCTCCCGTTACTGGTGAAACCTTACCGGAAGAGACGGAAGGGACGCATACTTCGGAGGTAGTTGGCAGGGCTCAGGCAGAAAGTTCATTCGTGGAGAAAAAGGCGGTAACTATTAGGCAAACCATGGCAGACGACAAAGAGATACCATTCCAAGCTACGACCCCGACCGCCGCCGCGCCGACAGAAACCATGGCGCCCATAGACCGTGAGGCTCCTGTCCTCTACCAGCAACAGCCCGAGGAGAAAGAGGAAGCATTCTCTGATAAGTTTGAGGGAGCCACAGTTAAACCAAAAGCTGTGATAACTGAAAGAAAGACGGTTATCACTTCAGACAATGTAGTGGATGAGAAGGAGGACACCTTGGGTATAATTACACCAAAAGACAGACAAGCCAAGCCTACAGTTGACGAGATGCAGGGTGTTGTTGTCTCCGAGACAAAGCCAGAGGATAAGGCAGAAAGTCTTGATGACTTTAAATTACGGAAGCATGAAGCTGTGGTTGACTTTGAGCTGCAGCTAGCTACCGTGTCTGGTGTAACGACAGCCGACGAACAGGAGGACACTTTCACGTCAAAAACCTTTAAGACAGAGACGGCTGATGGCACGATTATCACAGAAACCAGAACTGTTTCCGTTCGACAAACGGTACCGGGAGACACCGAAAAAGACTTCACCGTGCCTTTACCAACAGGCCAAACACCTTCAACGTCGATGGTTCCAGAGGATCGCCAGGCGGCGCTCGGATTCGGCGTTCAGCCCGCCGAAAAGGAAGTTACGTTCACCGAGACAACAGAGGAGTTTACAGTTACTCCTAAAACAACCATAACAGAGCGCTCCTCAGCGATTAGCGCCAAACCAACAACGCAAGAGCGTGAAGAATCCTTTGAGGTAGACAAACCAAAGGACAAAAAGGCGAGAGCATCATTAGATGAAATTCGAGGGTTGGAGGTCACGCAAGCTACGCCAACTGAAACGGATGAGTCTCTGGACGAGTTCGTGCTCACGAAGAGAAAAGCCAGTGTAGGGTTTGAGATTCAACAAGCACCCTTGCATGCGGAGATCAGACCAGAAGAAATGGAAGACACTTATCGTTCCAAAACCGCTAAAACAGAAACTGCTGATGGCGTAATGATACTGCAACAAACCTTCACGGTCAGCCAAACAGTGCCCGAAGACAAAGAAGCGGATTTCACAGTACGCGTGCCGAGGGATGCAAAGCCGGAAGAAGACATGGTACCGCAAGATAAGCAGACAGCCGCAACGCTCTTCATAACACCTGTTGAGAAGGAGGATGAGTTCACAGAGACCACGGAAGAGTTCACGATAAAGCCCAAGGCAGTGCAGCAAGAGAGGAAGACGGCGGCAAAGTCAGATCAGTTCGTCGAGGAGCACACAACTGAGCTCCGTCCTTCGAAGCCATTTGACGCCAGAGCAAGACGATCATCTGTTGAACAGCTTATGACTGCGTCGGACACTTCGGTCCACGAAGAACAGTCTGTTGTAGTAGAGCAAGAAGTTGTGGATGCCAAGGGTACGCGACGCAAGTCGCGTCAGGAGCAAAGACGAGAGTCGTTGGAGGAAATCCGCCGTGGCTCCATCACAGAGATACGTCGAGGATCTCTGGATATGACTATTCAGGAGATTCACGACGAAGACATCAGCATATCGGATGAGGTGACGATCCAGCCGACGATAACTGAAGAGGACGACTATGTCACTACAAAGGGCGCCGATATGGACACTACAACGCGGGTAATGACTGAGGAAAAGGGCGGCAAGCAGAGAAAGGTTATCATACAAACGTTTGCCAGCAAACCAACAGAAAGTACAAATATCGAAGAGATTGAAACTGTCACATATACCAAGGATGAAGAAACTGTTGAACACAAGATTGACGTGGAGATTGAGGATGAAGAGTCTGATGAAACTGTTACTGAGTTCACCGTTCAGAAGAGGGGTAAGAAGCCCTCTCAGGAGAAAACTGAAGAGGTAAATGTTTCCCAGCGGCCTGTCGAGGATGTAACCGACGAAGCAGTGGTGGCAAAAAAGAAAAAGCCGAAGAAGAAAGTTCAAAAGGATGAAGTCACTACGGAGGAGGAAACAGCTACAGTTACCCTGAAGAAGCCGAAAAGACCAAAGGCTACTGAAACAACTGATGACCATTCTGAGGCATCGTTTGTCATCCAAACAATCCCTCAGAAGGAGGACCTGAAAGTGACGGAGGTAGTAGACATTACTACCACCGAAGCCTTCGATTCCACTGACATCAGCCTTGAAGTGTCCGATGAAGTCGAACAACGGGAGCAGAAAACCGTGAAAACTAAACGACAAAAGAAACCCAAACCGTCTAAACCCACAGAGCCGTTGGAAGATGCAGATGATGCGACGGAATTTTGGGTGACGTGGGATAAACAAGTCGCCCGGGCCACTGTTGAGCAGGATCACTTACAATGGGCAACAGCCACAGGAGAGGCGCCCGAAATATCCCAAGTTGATGTCAGTGATTCAAAGGCGTTGCCCGAGCCAAAGGACGCTGACGAGCAAAAGCCAAAGATTAAGAAAATACGCAAGCTAAAGAAAACTACCGAAGGCGATGACATTGTTGATGAGGAAGCAAAAGAATTCGTCACCAAAATCCCTCGCGATAAAGCTACGGTTAGGGAGGAGGATGCCTCCATCGATATTGCGACGAAAGAATTCACTGAACAAAATGTTCAAGAAGAAGCAGTCACAACTATCGAAGAGACCACAGCCGAGTTTGTAGTAAAGAGGCCGAGTGAATCTAAGGTGCAGACCTCTACGTCTGATAGCCTCGCTGGCGAAGAGGAAGAAAAGCGCGTGATCGTCCATGACACCGTAACCGTTCCGCTGAAGAAAAAACGGAAACCACAGCGAAAGGAGGAAAGCGTTTCGGAGGAGTTCAGTATCAGGATTGACACCAAACCTATGCATGATGTGGAGCAAGAATATAGCGTGGAGTTAGAGGAACATCCCACAGAGGACACGGAGGATATAACAACAACGACCATAGTAAAGAAGAAGCGCAAGAAAAAGCAGCCGTCCCCAGATATTGAGATCCAGGAGAAGGAAGGCAAGGAAACAACAGACGACGCCGTAGAATTCTGGGTATCTTGGGATTATGCACACGCCGTTGAGCGAGTGCATCATGACGAGTTACAGTGGGCTAGAGTATCAGGCGTAGATTTCTCGGAGACGCCGGAGCAAACTTCTGGCCGACGAAAGAAAGTTCGGTTCATTCAAAAGGGGTCAGAGGAGCCCATAGAAGTCGTGGAGGAAATTGTCGAAGAAATCGGTGACGATAAACTCCCTATTGATTACCAGGACGATGCAAAGATAAAGCCAACCAAAAAGGATAAAGTGAAACCAAAGATCCCGTCTATTTCAGAAGTCCCATCGGACGATACTGGGGAGCAAGCAACGACAAAGAAGCCCAAGAAAGAGTCCGCCAGGCCAGGGGTTGTTACACAAGAGTCAGTGCTGAATGAGGAAGTTGTGCTGGCAGAATATCCCGGCACCGAAGATGACCAAAAGGTTCCCACGGAGCAGGCCGTGTCTCGTCTGGACTCAGTGGATGACGCCATTGCTATCGTAGACCTCGGAGTTCCGGAAACTACAGGAACACTACCAGTGAAGAAACCAAAGAAATCGACAGCAGACAAAACACAAGAAATACAACAATCCGTGTTGATCGAGGAGCATCATATTCACGAAACGTCCGAGGAACTGGAAGAACATAAGGCCAGAAGTGAAAAGGTTAAGATTCAGAAGTCTCCCGAAGACCGCTCCACAGCTGAATTGTCTAAGCCGGATGTAGGTTTCACAGAAGAACTTACCCCAGAAAAGCCGAAGAAGAAAAGACGACCGAAAAGTGACGATGCAAAGACGGAAGAGGCATTAACTGAAACAATCGGTGATGATAAGCCAGAAATTGAGGCTGTCGAAGGTGCGGCACCAGAGGACAAGAAATCTTCAAAGACAAAGAAAGTGAGGCGTCCAAAAATGCGGCCAAAAGAGGATCTGCTACCTGAAGATGTAGAGAAACCAGAGGACTTGATTGAAGGGCTAACGAAAGACATCACCGCACCTGAGGAAAAACCCAAGGAGCAGGCTCACAAGCCATTAGTGAAACACACTGAGGGTACTGTTGTCATGCAAGAAGAAGAGATCGATGTCATTATTCCACAAACCACAACCTCAGGAATCGCCAGGCAGTTGGATGAGGAAGACGCGATGGCAGTCGCTTCAGAGGACCTCAGACCAAAAATGGAAAAGGTAGAAGAAATTATCACAGTCGAAACAAAGCGTGTCAAAAAGCCAAAACCAAAGCGGCTACCTGAAGATCGTGAAAGTGATGATCAATTAGAGGACCTCGATGAAAGTGTTGTAATCTCTGTTCCAAGGCGAAAGAAATTCGAGGTTACTGATGATTCTGAGGAATCCGCCACCCTCATCTTGCGTAAGCCTGATACCGAGGAGGTTTCGGTGATGCTGCCTAAGGCACCCAGCTCTGGACGCGATGATGTCGAAGTGGCCGAAGAATTCACTATTTCCCGTCCAGTTGGGGAGGTTGACGAGGCTATGCCCGAAAAAGACGAGTACCAAACCGACGAATCTCAAGTGCAGGAAACCGTTGTGACGGTAAAGAGAAAACCAAAGCAAGACAAACACCCCGAGCCAGTCGTACCTGAATCGACAGAAGTGGAAGAACTGGAGGCTGAGGGGGGTGACGAGCTTAGGCCGAGGAAGCCTAAGAAGGCGAGAGGCAAAAAGTTGAAAGATGAAAAAAGTGAGTTGGAGGTCACTGAAACTGTACCGCACGAAACAACCAGTGACTTGGATACTCCAGACATGAAACCAGCCAAAGTGCGTGAACAAAAGGTCGCAGAGGCAGAAGAACGCATTACTGAGGTGACAACCAAGTTGAAAGAGCATGTACCCGAGGACAAGGACCTTTTGGAACCAGAAGGACCAGACAAAACTCCCGAAGAGGTGCCCCAGCACGAAACCGTTCAGCTAAAACGCAAGCCAAAAGATAAGAAGGATCGAGATCTGGAAGAAACCGTCGTCGACATCAAACTGCCTGACTCTGACGAACGTCCAGAAGACGAGGACGAAGTGCAATTGGTAACAGTGAAGACAACCAAGGAAAAGAAGAAACCGAGGGATACTGAACAGACCGAAGAAGTAATAACGTTGGAAAGACGTCCTCTCATGCGGAAGACTGACGATGAGGCAGCATCTGTCACCGTTGACTCCCAGATCACCGTACGACGTCGCTCCATTGAAAAGGAAAGAGGCGACGAGGCCTTAGAAGATCAAGATGTTGTGCTTGATTTCACCGTGGAAGACTTTTCCAGAAAGCCAGAAACCATACAGCCTGTAACTGAAGAGATCAGTGAGGTGACTCAGTCAGTGACGGTCGGTAAAAAGGACAAGAAACCAAAAAAGAAGCGTGATTTTGGAAAAGGCGATCTGCCGAAAGAAAAACCAGAAGAAACCACCCTCACACCGCACAAAGCAAAACCTACAGATGAAGAAACTTCAAAACAGGACTTTATCGTAAAACGAAAGCCTAAAACCGATGAGGAGATTTCTTCAGAAGAAATTTCGGCGTCCATAGAGATGCCAGAAACCGATGAGGGCCCCAAAGATGACACCAAAGACGCTTCAGTGACGTGGCGAAAGCCAAAAGGTAAGAAAAAGAAGAAGCAGCCTGACGACACGGAAGACACCGAGGAGGTGATAACTCTGCAACGAAAGCCCGTTATACGACAAACAGAGGAGGAAATAGAATCCGTAACCGTCGACACTCAAGTCACAGTACGCCGCCAGTCCATCGAAAAATCGCGAGAACAAACTCTTGAAGGTCAAGACGTGGTGACTGAATTTACTAAAGCACAGATTTCCGATATTGCTGATGTCCATGACGTGAAAAGTCAAGAGGTTGAAGAGGTGACTGAGACCGTGTCAGTGGTTAAGAAGGATAAACCTAAAAGAAGGAGAAAACAAGTGAGCGATACAGATGTTTCAAAACCAGGGTCACTGGAACAAAAAGACCAAAAGCCGGAGGAAGCAGATGAGGATGTGCCGCAAGAAGTTTTACTGAAACGTCTGAAAAAGAAACCGATTGTCGACGAGGAGGTTGATGAACAAATCACACTAAAAAGAAAGAAACCAAAAGAAACTCTCACGGACATCACCGAGCAGGCAACAATCGCTACAAAAACATTAATCGTGAAGCACCCCGATGAAGATACGGAGGCGGAAGCGATACTGCCGGAAGATCAGGACGCTGAGTTCATTTTACCGCGGATTAAGAAGTCTAAGCGGCCCGAAGGTGAAGTTGAGGATGAATCCGCCGAAGCTGTCATAGTAGTCAAGAAGATTGTGGACGAGGAAATTGTTCAGCAGGTCATAGAAGAGACAACTGATGTCGTGGAAGAAAAGTCGCAAAAAAGGAAGAAAAAGACTCGGAAGACGCGGCAGGAGGATCACCCAGAGGACGACGTACTGCAGAGGCCACTCAGCCCTGAGGAAGCTGAAGACGTCGAACAGAAACGCCCTGAAGATTCCGAAACAGACGCGACCGTGCCAATTAAAAAGGTGAAAACAAAAAGGCACGTAACAGAGAGCGACGCTGACGTGACAATCAAACAACAAAGGCCTTCCGATGATGAGATAAGCCAGGATATCACTGTTCGAAAGCCGCTAGATGAAGGGGAAGACGTGGAACAGGCTTTCGTTATCAAGAGGCCAAAGAAAAAAGGAGTTCAAGTGCACGATGTGGAGGAAGCCATCACACTGAAGCAAAAGAAATCAAAGCCCTCTGCCGGGCCTGACGAACAGGTAACAACAACGTCCGAAATCACTGTGAAGCGCTTTGGCGACACGGTTGAGGAACAACTCGAAGAGCATGACGTTGAATTCGAATATAGGCCCAAGGAAACAGACAGCGACGTCGAGCAGCAGCCCGACGAAGCCACTGAGGCTAGAATCCGGATCAAGAAGCCCGGGTCTGTGGAAAAGCCGCATAAGCCCAAGAAGCATATTCCTTTCGCCTCGATGGACGACGACGTCGAGGTGCGCATCCAGCTTAGCAAGGACGCCACCGAGGCACCCGAGGCCATTGAGACAGTCTACTTCCACGACCAGCCGTCTGTGGCCGACGACCTCAGCGAGGACTTTGAGGTGGCGCTGCCGCGCCGCCGTAAGCCCGAATATAAGGTCGAGGACGTCGAGTCCGAGGTCGACATCAAGGTGGCGCGGCGGAAGCGTGACTCGCGCGAGACGCAAGAGGGCAGCCACACGGTCCGCGAGTCGTTCCGCATGATGCTGCGCCAGGACACGCTGGGCGCGGCGCCCGCCTCCCCCGGCTCCGTGCGCGAGGAGTTTGATTTCAGGCCGACGCCCATGCCGGAGAGCGTAGCGCCGGTATGGAGCGAGGATGCGGAGGATGCTTCGCTGAAGCTGCAACTGCGACCCAAACGGCCAGGTCAGCGCTGCTCTTCTGGTGGTGTTCCGGTGCGCTTCGGCTAATGCCGTCTTTGACCAGCACCGCTCTGCCGTTTGGTGTCATTCTTTCTCGCTGACTGTCGCACTAACCAACGACTGGGCTTCCTAACGCGTTTCGTGTTTCATTGGACTTGTTTCAGCGTCTGGCTCGGGAGGAGGCGCGGGATACTTCGGCAACTCAACAGTGCTCGCTTCGAGTTTTGTGGTAACCGGTTTTAACCTCTCAGCCAAGCGTTTTCAGGAAATGTTTGACGTCCTCGTTACAAACTACGAATGGGAACAGGAGACTTCCATGCGCATCACGGCTAATGGTCATATTCGCCAACTTAGCTTTTGTTTTATTTTATGCTTATTGGTTGCAGTCTCTTTTTAACCCATACTGGTAATGCCATTCAGTTCCCACTAATGCATATAATTTCAGATGAGTATTGTTAAGCTTTTATCACCCATCTGGTTCCCACAGACTGTATTAATGCTTGACGTTTTGACATTTTGCAGACAGCTTAGTGCTTACGCAGCATATGCCTACTACTGAGTTTGTAATGGAAGGTAAAGGCGATGGTCGAGCATTGTATCAATGCATCCTGCCGCGCAGGGAGGAAGGCATGCTCTTCTCTCTGCTTAGCCGGTACACTGTTGACTACATTTGCTGCATGGGCATTGGACAACGCTGAGCTAGTTTCAGAGCAATCATTTCCTCAAAAATCGTCTCTTGTTTTGTCGTAACACGGTGCCCTGATTTCAACAGCCTGTCTGCACTCTGTACCGTCCTAGTCACGCCTTAATGCTGATATACTGTACGAACAAGCTGCCTGAAATCGTCGCAAAACTCACGACACTGCTTTGCACGTTTTAGCGCCATTAAAATTAGGGCGATGATCGTGTAATGTCCAATGTGCTCGTTTCAGAGACGTCTCTCGTGCTTAGGTGCCTGCTCATTAGTGGAACATGGAGCGATGGGTCCATCTCAGAGCAATGCGTTGCAAGGAAGCCAACTTGTCTGCCTCTTGTTATCTGACCTGTTTGGTGAACGCTGTGCGGTTGCACCTTTCGGAGCCGAGGGACGTGTGCTGACCGAAGTGTTGGCCCGTGCTTCCGCCGCCGTGTCCAGCGTGCATATAGTGTTATGCGACTGATTTCCTAAAATGCATCGACGAAAATGCGTCGGATGACCGCCGTGTCCTCCATGTCAGTAAATTCCCACGGGGTCTCCACCACGCCAACAGTGCCAGCCGGCGGAGGTAGCCCGATGCTGGCAGCGTGCTTGACAGGCTCTGACCCAGCCACGCCACGTCTCTGCCTTGAGCCCGTGACCCCGGGGGCCTGGCCGCGAGCACGCGCTGACCGGTCATGCGCCGCCAGTGGCCGAGGAGACGGCCCCGCTGGACGTGGCCGAGGGAGACGTGTTCTACGCAGTCTCCACCTACGTGGCTGAGTCCGAGGAGACCATGCATCTGGTGGAGGGAGAGCGGGTGTATGTGCTAGGTACGTGGAGCGCTGGAGGTGCCGAGGATGGGGCCTAATAAGGTTTGGGTACAAGAACTGAGAACATGGGAGAGAGATACAAGTCTGCAAATGGCATGGCATTTTGGTGTCGTGAATTCTTACGCTGAATATAACGGCCTTCGATATTCCATATTCGGTACATATTTTAGTGCACTGAAGGTCGAGTTTTCTCAGCATGCGCATTAAAGCGTGTCCCAACTTGAGCGCATATTTCAAAAACATGGTATGATGAAACCTCAGTACCAGTAAAGTCTAATAATAGCACTGGGTATGTCACCACGGTAACGTCGAGACATAATAAGGACACAAATGTTGAATATTTCCGGGTCCATCTTATGCTGCCATTGATTTGTAACAATACTACGCTCCTTCTCCGCAGTCGTGACCACCGTCGTTATGGCAGCCGCCGTGTGTGCCTCTACTCGTGCAAATAACCGAACGCTTATGACTGGCCCGGCGGGTCGCAAGGGCCTGTTACCGCGTAGCGCACTGGTTGAAGTCTGAACCAGCGCGTCCTTATGGACCACGTGATGCTCCCATTCCCAAAGCCGCAATGGGCCTGGAAAGGAGACGCTGTGGTAAAGGCCTTAGGGGAGAAATCAAAGTCATTGTATAAGCTTTCGTTGAATTCGCGGATAAAAGTTTCATGTTTGTATATGGTTTTGTCCAAACTGGGTGCTTGAAAATTGCGTAGCATTTATTGCACAAGCAGTTTGACAAATAAGTGTGTTGCAAACATTACGGAACACACACCTAGGAAAAAGCACGACAAATGAAATGTATTACTTTCATAGCGGTGAGCAGGGAGTCAAGCGGGATTTCCCCGCAGAAGGGACCTCTTCAAATCGAAATTCTGAGTTATTCGGAGGGATCTCGAGAAAACTGGTGTTACTGATCAAATCGTGCGCTTATGATCCAACGATACGTAAAAAGTACAAAAAGCGGGATGCCCCTTTTTCATCATGCCACCTCCATGATCTGGGGGAAAGATCCTGAACTAGTTATCCAGCGGCAGCGGGTATGAGTCCCGGTGCGTGCGCATTGTTTGGCCCTGGGACTGTCAATCTAGGCCAAGGGCGGCCGCTTGGCGACATTGTGCGGCGCGTCAAACTATCCACAGTCTTTTCTTGATGAAATGCCCAGGCAACCTCATCCGTTGTAATGACCGGGAATTTCAGGGTATAGATAGCAAACTTCCGTTAGCATGTACCCATGGCAACAACGAGGAATTCATATATTTAAAAAGTGATAATACCCATGGATACGCAGGGGTAGTTCAGAGTTTACTTCGTTTTTGGAACGGAGAAGGCAAGCATGCTGGGTCGATTGGAAGAGTGGATGCATATGTTCGGTGGGAAAGCGGGGCTTCAGGATTCTGAAGCCGATATCACTTGTATCCACTTGAGCTTAGTCTGACCACCAACTGGCATTGCGTATGGGAACTTCGGCGCACTCCAAGTATTGCTGCTCGGCGCCTGTCTGGGTCGACGGCCTTTCCACCCTGACCTCGTCCGTGCGTTCTGCAGAGTGCCACAACAGCGAGTGGTGGTTCGTCCGCAAACACCTGACCGAGGAGGCCGGTTGGGTGCCCGCCTCCTACCTAAAGAACGAGGACGAGTACAACGCCTACGTGCAGCGCAAGCTCAGCGACAAGATCGGCAAACTGCCCGTGTTCGAAGGTGAGCGAAAAGGACGGGTGCACCAATGACTTTGGGGCAGAGGCAAAACCAGTGGAGAGGGGATAAGATGTAGTACTACTTTGCCCTCACCTCGCTTTGAATCACGCCGTACACGTCTTTATTATAAAGCCTACGGGCGGGAAAAACTGAAATAGTCGACATTGTACAAAAGCATCTATAACGAAAAACACAAGAGAATGTGCCCGTTTGAGTGAAAGCTAGCAGGTAGGGGCGGCGCTACCAAGTGGCAAAGATGCCTGTATGTTTCCTTGAAACATCCGGAGGTTCCATCATGCCGACACGGTGGTGAGCTACAATATCGCATTAATTCAAAAGGGCCTGTGATGCACGAGGGAGACAATATTTGCCCCGTAGGAGACTATAAATACTCAGAACGTTAGGCTTCACTGGCGGACGGGAGGTCCCAGACCTAGATGACGATGATGAGGACCCATCAGATGCATGGGGAGCTCTATGGAATATACAGTTAGTCTGCCAGCTCAAGAAAATGCACGGGTTGAAAGATAGAGGTTCCACTAGGCAAAGAGGCTTTATTCAATCAAAGGTAACTAAGAGGCTCTCCGGAGATTAGGGCGAGATCAGGGGGAACACTTTAAAGGGGGGGGGGGGCGGATAGCAGGCCCGCAGATCTGCTTGCACCCTGCAAAAATAAGTGGCATCGCCACTGCTGGTAGGCTTGGGCGGTGAGTCTTTGTCACTCAACTCGAGTCATTCGCTTTCCAAATTCGCTCCCATTTGTGATCACATGGTTTGTGAGTTGGTCAGATTACAGTAAACTGAGACACTGACACCGACACCGACACTGACACTGACACTGACACTGACACCACTCCGTTTGGCCACAGACCCTTCAAGGATTGGAAAAAGGAGGGACACAATATGCATACACTATAGCGACCCACGTTATATTTCCGCGCAAATTTCAGCGCGCACTCTCGTGCATGAGGTGGCACTGCCTCCGTCCCCTTCTTTCCTTCCCCGCCCCTGATTGGCTGAAGTCGCCACTGAGTCCATTTCACTCATCACCCGACAGCTCACAGATCTGATTGGAGCGGACACCCACCGGTAGGGTCTAAAAAACCGGCATGTGACGCAGATACGCAAGTTTTCAGAAACGGCTTGCCCGATCGCCTTTCAACCTTCACCAATCGATTCCGTGCATTGAGGTGAGTCATGAGGAGGCAATGTCGGGGCCCAAACTGAGGTCAAACACCTCGAAAATCCAAGGGAAAATTTTACATGTAGATGCAGACAACTCAGATCTTAGAGCCTACTGGACAGATCGCTGTTTAACCTTCACCAATGGATACCCCCTCACCTGATTCTCTCTGGCGGTTTCAACTTTTGTGATCCTCGGTCAGGTCGAAAGTCGTCAAATTTCAGAAATCCAAAATTTTTGCTTACAGACAACTGATACCTCAGAACCTACCGAACCGATCGCTGGCAAGCCTTCGCCATTGAATGTCCCATACCTGATTCCCTCTCGCAGTTCCAAATTTGGTGACCCTAGGTCAGGTCAAAAGTCGCCAAATATCATAAAGTCAAAAATTCTTGCTTGCAGACAACTTATAGCTCAGAATCTACCACTCCGATAGCCGCCAAACCATTCAGGTACGCCATCTACCCTAACTCCTAGTGTTGAAGCTGCAAGTATGGTGTCGTTTATGATTATGGCTTTTTCTTTATGTATGTTCGCAAGAAAAAGTGCGGCTTCAGGTTAGGTTAGGCTGCCTTGTGAGGTTAATTTTTTTCATTAGCAGAGGTGTGCTGAAAATCATCGCTGAACTGTGCATGGTATCACCACGATTAACACCTACGCTAAGGACAAATTCACCTTTCATAAGGCCAGCCTAACCAAGCTGCACATTTTCTTGGGAACAAACATAATGGAAAAGACAATAATAGATGGTACCACGCTTGCAGCTTCAACAGAGTATTTGGATAGATTGCGTACTGGATGGTAAGGTTTGGCAGTGATCGCTTCAATAGGTTCTGAGCTATAAGTCGTCTGCAAGCAAGACTTTTGGACTTTGTGAAATTTGACGAGTTTTGATCTGACCTAGGGTCAACATTTTGGAAACGCAAGAATTGGATATGGGGCACCCAGTGGTGGAGGTTTCACAGTGATGGGTCCAGTAGGCTCTGAGTTCTGAGTTGCCTGCATTTGCACGTAAAATTTTCCCTTCGCGCTTTCGAGGTGTTTGACCCCAGGTCAGGTCTCGATACTGTCTCCTCATGACTCATATCAATGCACGGAATCGATTGGTGAGGGTTTCAAGGAGATCGAACAAGCCGTTTGGGAAAACCTGTGTATCTGCGTCACATCCCGGTTGTTTAGGCCCTACCATGCCCACCGGAAAGCAAGGTTGCGATTCCCGGGAGGACGTATCACCATTGCAATAAAAAATTAAGGCCTATTACCCAAAGCCACTTCCCTCAGCGTTGGTAACAACTATAATGTATCACACTATGATGACACTGTTTCTTTCTGCGAGCAATTCTAGTTCAATGCACGGCATGGCATTATCCTTATTTCACACAGACGGTTTAACAGATGAACAGCACGGAAAGGAAAAAGCGAAACACCTAGAAGTCTCACCATTGTAGAAGTCGTTGTCTCAGTCTGCTGTTGTTAAGTTGTTTAAAGCTGTTGGAAGCTTTATTACATTCCAGTAGCTCTTCCTCTTCAAAGCCTCTCTATCTCTGGCGTTGGCATTATACGCACAGGCCATATAACGCACCACCCAGCGCCTGGTCGCATCTAGTAGCCTTAGTCGCACGTGCCGTTTCGCCATGCGGACACCAGGGCGACCTTCTGATTGGCCAATATATTGCTGCAAACAAAGTTCCCTGGTTTCAAGGTCGTATGCTGTTTGCGCCGAGAATTTCATGCAGGACTTTGGTGTCGGGGTTTGGTCGCGCAGCGGTGGCCATTGGCATGGATGAGCTGGTGCTGATTGGCAGCACTGAACATTATGTGATCTTCCCTCGCAACACAGGGAGCGGACGCCGGAGCATTATGTGATCAAACACAGAGCTGGTTAAGTGAATTTGATCATTGCTTCATCTATCATGGGTTGCTCCTTTCACAGATAGCGTACTTTTATAAGCTTTTATTGCTTGCCCATTTGCCAAAAGTGTTATTGGGCAAAGTGATAGAGTTAAGTGTTGTAGACTGGGTCGAAAGTCCGGCTCACACAAGTTCGCTGTGAAAAATTTCGTATAGGTCTAACGTTCGTCGCGCAGAATTTTTGTAAAAGTTTCTGAAGTGCAACAGCTCGATGAAGACAAAATGTATACTGCATTTCGTGTGCGGCCAAATCTCGGATAGCATTTATATTTGTAATAACAAATAGTTAATCCATACCAAGTACGTCGTGCCGTTTATGACCTCGTTCCCTGCTCACACGAGGTACCCCCCCCCCCCCCCCCACAGCGCCCAAAACGGGCCAGAAGCAGAGGGCGCCGCGCTTCACGGAGAAGCTGCACGCCGTGCACGTGGTGGACGGCTCGCTGGTGCAGCTGGAGTGTCGCGTTGAGGGCGAGCCGCGCCCCACGATTACCTGGTTCCGTCAGACGGCCATCATCAAGCCGTCGCCCGACTTCCAGGTGCGGCGAGCTCGGAAAGCGGCGGCCGTGAGCGTGCAGCCGGCTCGGCTCGTCGGTGGGGCATTTAGCGTAGTGGCGAGGAAGGCCTCCTGCGCTGTTTGCCATTCAGGGTTGCGGGAGTGACGTCAAGTTTGACGATGCGGTAGAGAACGTTCGGGAAGCCGGTATATATATATATATATATATATATATATATATATATATATATATATATATCCAGCATCAATCGATTTCATAGTGGTGGCGCCGCTCAGGAGGCTCGTCATGTGGCGGAGGTCGGTGGGACCGAATCTGCTTTGATGCTTCTTACACCAGAGATAGGTTAATCCGCCCACAGCGCGCTGCGGTCCGGGCTCTGCCAAACCCAGTTGTGTTCGCGATTTTCTATGCGTGTGCGTGCTTAAAAGAATGCGAGGCTGCCTGCCGCCGTTAATTTCAACAGCACCAGCCCAATAGGAAAACGAGTATAGAAATATCCGACCCTGCCGCTGGATTCAGGCCTGCTCGCGTCGCGACTAACTGCGCTCTGCCCCCCCCCCCCCCCCTAACCAGATGTTCTACGACGACGACAACGTGGCGACGCTCATTATCAAGGAGGTGTTCCCGGAGGACGCCGGCACGTTCACGTGCGTGGCTAAGAACCAGGCGGGCTTCAGCAGCTGCTCGGCCGAGCTGGTGGTGGAGGCGCCGCTCTCTGACCACGGCTCGGATGTGGTCTGCACCAGCCGCAGGAGCCTCAGCAGGTGCGGCGCGCGCAGCGCCTCCGCACGGGTGCCCCGATGCAGAAAAGTGGCGACGCTTCCGGGTCGGTAGCCGGAGCAATAGTGTTGGGTATCTGCCAATGTTATTTTCGGGGTTTGAGCCGTGTGTTACGATGAAGTTTCGGCCCTGCGCCGAATAACTGCTGAGCTGCCATTCATTGTGCAGTGGGTATTGCAATGTAATTTGATATAACTGTTGGCTGAGTGCCTGGAATAGGTCATAACAAATGACTGGCGGTTGGTAATCCGCTGGTATGTGGAAAACAAGTTTCAAATCGTGAGTGGGCTTGGACACACATAGTAATGAGCTTCGCCGCTGCGTGCGGCACGGTTATTCTGGGGGAAAAGGAAGCGAGGCTGTGGGGCATGGTTCTGGGTCGGGGCTGCATGGGCTTAGTGACCGGTGTTTTGATCATAACGGTCCCGTCGTGTGCCGCGCTGAAGGTTCACCGATGTCGGTGGCCCGATATGATATGCCCCGTTCCAGCCTTTGTGGGAGGCTTGGACGCCTGGTCTGTGCCTACACTGTATAGTTGTGACGGATGCCAGCAGTTACGCATTTATATGCATAGTGTTGAGAACAGTTAAGACATGCAGTATCAAACGCCGGCGCCTGATAATGTTTCCGTTGGATAGGTGAACGCTCCTCGAGTAATTCGACGGAGAAACTTTCGTTGGCGGCTCTTTACTAAATACATGTAGCTCAAAATCTTGGGAACTTTCGGACACATTACATTCACCCTTGCAGTTGCCACTCACTATTTCGCCTGCTATCAACACTGCACCTCAGCACTGCATGTCAACTCTCAGGCACAGCACCTCACCGCTGCCCTTCTCTGCCGTCATGGCTCGCGGCACCGTTCTGCCTCCGTTGCTTGCGCTGCTCTCGACATGACCGTCGCCGCCGCTAGCACTGACCGCCGCTCCCCTCAGGGAGTCCTCCCTCTGCGACATCCTCGAGGGCATCCCTCCGACCTTCAGCCAGCGGCCCAAGACGCGCACCGTGCAGGAGGGCGACGACGTGGAGCTGGAGTGCCGCCTGGTGGCCGTGCCCGAGCCCGAGGCGCAGTGGCTGCTCAACGGTCGCCCTATCAAGGGGTCCAAGCGCGTCACCGTCACTGCGCAGAGCGACATGCACATGTACTGCCACTTCGTGCGCATCAAGGGCGTGCGCCGTAAGGACGAGGGCCTGTACGAGATCGTCGCCATCAACCGCGAGGGCGAGGCGACCAACACCATCTCGCTGATGGTGGAGGAGCGCGGCGAGAAGCAGCCGCCCGAGCTCGTGCAGCCGCTGCAGCCGCTCGTCGTCTCCGAGAACAGCCGCGCCACGTTCGTGGCGCGCGTCAGCGGTAAGCCGCAGCCGCGCGCCACCTGGTTCACCGGCAAGCATCCGCTGACGGCCGAGATGCTGGCCAACAGCGACGTCACGGTGACGCAGGAGGGCGACGTGTACTCGCTCAACATCCCGCGCTCGCACCGCAGCGACGCTGGCGAGTACACGCTGCTGGCCGAGAACGCCGCGGGCACCGCCAAGACCACCGCCACGCTTGTGGTGCAAGGTGAGCGCGCGCCGCGTGCGGGGAGGGGGGGGGACACGGAATGCCACCATCGGTACAGCAGTGAGGCACTGTGGTAACGCGCCCAGCAATGTTTGGGGAATCAACCTGGAGCCCTGTAGCGGTGTGTGATGAAACGTTCGAACGCAATGGTGAAGACGGATCGCATGCGCGATACCGGTTTGGCTGATATGTATGCAACAAACAGGTGGACAAATGTTTAGTGTTGTTAAACAAAATACAGGTTTGATAAGTAATTGCTCTGTGAGACCGGTGTAGTTTGCAAGGTTTCTTACAAAGTTTCAACTTTGCCCTCAAGTTCTAGAGTTATCAAAATATGGTATTGAATGTATGCCTTTTACCGTGCTTGAAATCATTGATCCTGCCAAGTGCGTTTAGGACATGATGATTTTCGTATGCGTTTTGAAATAGTCAGTCTGTTCGCGTGTCTTTCTCGCACCTGTTTTGGTCGATATTGACCCGGCGCTGTGACTCCACCGGATAGAGTCCCAGCTGGAGCCGCCCATGTTCATCGAACGGTTCACGGACGTGCGGGTGCCGGAGAAGACACCCATCCGACTGACCGCCAAGGTCGTCGGCAATCCGCGACCCGAGGTTACTTGGTACAGGTCAGTTTTTCGGGCTGAGAAAAACTACTGACTGGTGTATCTGGCTGCGTTGTGCATGCTTCCGTGTTATGCCAGGGGCATCAGTGTGGGGCTTATGCATTGTTGGACAACTGACAGAGTGTAACGTGTAATTGTAAGATATGTCGCCTGAATCGAGATTGGCGTATGCAAAACACTGACGAAGGACTGGGGTGCATTCAGATCAAACATAAAATGATCGATAAGTCTGCTTTCATCACGTTCTTAGCCGTCAACAACGGTACATGAATAATTTCGCGCGCAAATTTGCGATAGGATCCTTGCTATCGATCGTCTTGCCTGCAGCCAGTCCGTTGCGTAACTCACTGGTGTACCACTTCAACGGGGATGTTTTCATTGGACATTTTCCCATCCCTCTCCGTTCCGCCACCCGCCCCTCCGGCCGCACACCGGTTGATCCTGCGCCTGCGGCAGAAACGGCAAGAAGCTGAAGACCGGCAAGACCACGTCGGTGACGCATGTGGGCGAGGAGACCACGCTCGAGGTGCACGAGTGCCGCGTCGAGAAGGACGCCGGCGAGTACAAGTGCGTGGCCGTCAACGCCAACGGCAAGGCCACGCACCAGGCGCAGGTGGACATCGATGCAGACGTCGTGTAAGTGCTGGGAGCGGGAGGGGTGATGATAGGCAGCGGCCTGGAGAGAATGTGCTCTGTCGCTGCTGAGTGCCATGGGCTGGGGTCCTGTGGAGTCACGCGGTCCACGTAAGTGGGCAGGCAGTTTACACCAGGGTGCGGTGAAAGCGGGACCAGTGGTTTCGTGGTAGTGGTCGCTTTGTGTGGAAGACGGTGTAAAACCGGGAGCGATGCGATGCATTTTTTTCTTTTTGTTTCGCTTGTCAGCCGACTTGCACCTGATCGGTGTCAATGAATGTGAATTAAAGAGCCTTCTGCCTTAAATTGCATGCTGTTGTCTGCACATGTGCGAACAAACAAGAATGCAACCATCATGGAACGGTCAGAAGCAAGTACACCACAACCGACCTCTATTTCACCCTCAGCAGTCCAGTTCTACGATCGGATCTCATTCACAGGAGGTTTGTCAAAGACTTGGAAGACTTTGACATTGAAGAGCGGTCTACCGTCGCCCTGGAGTGTCAGACCTCTCAGGAGGTCACTGTGACCTGGAAGAAGGACTCTCAGGTCATTCAGGAGTCCAAGAGGCACGAGGTGAGCTACCTGATCTGTATAAGGTGCGATAGTAAAGTACCTCTCGACAGGTCTCGCTCCCCTTAAATCGATAATGCTTCCAAAAGATAGTACAGGTTGTTCAAAACCATAACGTCGCGAAGTTTTGCACAAGAATTGGCCATTGACGTCGGCATGTTTTGACCATCCGATGGCCTGTTTTCAGATCACTCGTGTGGGGAAAACCCACCGGCTGATCGTGCACGATGTGGTTATGTCGGACGCCGGCCAGTACTCCTGCACCACAGACGGCGCCGAGACCTACTGCAAAGTCACCGTTAAAGGTTAGCTCTTGGATGAGGTGCACCCATCGCAGGATCACATTTCGGGACAGGCAGACAATATATAACCGCGAACCAAGCCTGGCGTGCCAGGATCATAATGCGTCAAATCCAGCTGCTGCCACGATACACGCTGGCGGTTGCGTCGTAGATCTCATACGGCACCTGGTGACTGCCGCTCATCCCACTGATGCGGCCACTGTATGGGCACCGCGTGGCCACGCGGCCGCAGCGACTCAGAATTTAAGTCATCCCCAACAGCCATAAAACTTTGGTCGTCGTTACCGACACCACCGCCATCGTTCCTTTCAACACCGACGTGAACTAAATTGATCGCCGTACACGTTAAGTCGTGACTGGCCACCGTAAGGCTATGGTCATCGTCATCACCACTGTTATCGCCGCCATCAGTGCCGTTATGATCACCATCATTGGCATCATCGGCATCTCTCTCACGACCTCCTGCCGGTATAGAGGGCGGCGCGTTCTTCGTGGAGAAGCTGACGGACGTGGAGGTGAAGGAGCAGGAGACGGCGGCGCTCAGCGTGACTGTCAGCTCGCCGGCCGCGCGCGTCGTCTGGCACAAGGACGGCGCCGCCATCAGCGAGGACAACACCCAGTACGAGGTCAGTGGGACGCGCGGCTGGCGCGCTGCAGGGAGCGGTCCAGCGCCCGGCAAGGGCCTCAGTGAGAGACGCCCGACGGCACGGCGGGACGGACGGGTCGTGAAGGGGCCGGGGAGGGCCTCTGGTCACCGGGGCCGGTGCTCGGGACGAGAAACGCTCGGTTGTCGGGGCGAGATCGCGGTCGCTGGGTGGTAGCGGGCCCGCATGGGGTGATGCATTTTTTTGCATAGTCCCGTGATCGCGAGGGCTACAAACTTAGCTTGAGACACATGATTGAGGCTGGTGTTTTAGTGCCGTGTGACGCAAAAGAGATCCCGCGGTACTACCTAGATATCACGCCGGAGATATGACACCCGTTAAACGTAGCTCATAGATGATGGTGAATCCCGGGAGCACGCCAGGAGTCTTCGTTTGCGCGCCTTGGGTTGTCAAAGCCTTCCACGGAAAATGATAAGCTAATGCTGCATTGAAGCATGCAGGTTTTGGCTATCCTTCCAGGATAGTGGATACCACCATATCCCAACCCGGAAAACGCTGGTGATGTTCTCCCGTCACGTTCCGCTCAACGATATCGTAATGCCCGCTCCGGCCACCGGCAGTTTATCAGCGACGGCGTGTCGCGGCGCCTGGTGCTGCGCTCTGCCAGCGTGCACGAGGAGGGCGAGTACACGTGCTCGCTGGATGACCAGGAGTGCACATGCGAGGTGACTGTGGTCGAGCTGCCGCCCGTGCTCACCAAGAAGATGAGTGACACGACCGTCACGCGCGGCGAGAGGGCCATCTTCGAGGTGGCGCTCACCAAGGTGCGCTGCACGCGGTGATGGTGGATTTGAGTTGGGCTGGTTTAAGACCGTGGCTTAGTTGGCGTGGTCACGGTCATAAGCTGACAAGCTCTGCGATGCTTGTGATACGTGCATGGACCCCTGGTCACATCTCTAATGCGAAATTTACGAGAGAGAGCACCATTGTTAAATTCACCCGTGTATTCTACCAAAGGTGCGAGGCGTTCTCGCGATTCTTGTGCAAGTCTGGTGTCAAGCCTGGTCAAGTCTGGTCTGTGCCACGTTCGCGATTGCCGCCGTCCTGTGGTCGGTGTGGCTGCTCGCAGTTGTCGCTCCTCCTCAGCGCCCTCGCCCCTCCCCGCCTGCTTCCAGGGTGACGCGCTGGTCCAGTGGTTCCGCGACGACAAGGAGATCAAGTTCTCGGAGCACATCCAGCTGGGCATCGACGGCAAGCGCCAGCGGCTGATGGTGTACCAGACGACCTCCGACGACGCCGGCACGTACTCCTGCAGGATCGGCGGCCAGACCTCCTCCGCCAAGCTCAGCGTCGAAGGTGAGGAGCGCCTGACGAGATGGTCGCCGTCGCAGCGTCATGCTCGGGGTGTGATGGTCCCTGCTATGACGGATGCGTCCGGTCCGTTGTTGGAACTAATGCCGGCCGATTGTCGATTAAATGCACTGTTGAGCTCCTGGAATGCCGCTGGAATAATGATCGGGATAGTGTTAGTGATGAAAGTCACCTGTTGTGTCTTGTTAGGTTTGCAAGTGTTCTGGCAAATTGTGACGATAATGAGGAGGCAGAGAGTGATGATAAGAACAAAGGGAGCGCGTTAATACTGTCATTAGCTGTTTGTTCCGGACAACAACGGGGCTGAATGGCATCAGCCCGTAATTCAACTCGCATTGGGTGGAAAGCGTTTGGGCAGTTTCCAGTCCTTCCAATGCGTGAACCAGAGCCACAAAGACCTCCACCGCCGTGCGCTGTCACCAAGCGTCTATAGCGAGCCCGCCTCCCTCCGTTGCAGAACCGACGGTGGACTTCGTGGCGCGCCTGCCGGACAAGGTGGAGGCGCCCAAGGACACGACCGCCTCGTTCACGGTCGAGCTGAGCGACGAGTCGGTGCCGGTCACGTGGCTGCGCAACGGAGAGCCGCTGACCGAGTCGGACTCGTGCACGATCCTGGTGGATGGGCCGCGGAGGACGCTGCTGCTGAAGGAGGTGCAGTCCGGCGACGACCGTGCCGAGATCATTTGCGCCGCCGGCAACGTCAAGTGCACCAGCAAGCTGCGCGTTACCGGTGAGCAGGGCGACGAGCCGTGGTGTCCGGGGAGAGGCTGCACGTCACCGGTGAGCGCAGTGACGGGCCGTGGTGTCCGGGGAGAGGCTGCACGTCACCGGTGAGCAGGGCGACGAGCCGTGGTGTCCGGGGAGAGGCTGCACGTCACCGGTGAGCACAGTGACGGGCCGTGGTGTCCGGGGAGAGGCTGCACGTCACCGGTGAGCACAGTGACGGGCCGTGGTGTCCGGGGAGAGGCTGCACGCCACCGGTGAGCAGGGCGACGAGCCGTGGTGTCCGGGGAGAGGCTGCACGTCACCGGTGAGCAGGGCGACGAGCCGTGGTGTCCGGGGGAGAGAGCCTAGCTGGGATCGGTGAGCACAGTGACGGGCCGTGGTGTCCAAGGAGAGAGCCGAGTTGTGATCAGTGGGTTGACACCAGTTGTTTCGGTTTTGTGGTGTTTTTATCATCAAGAGAGTGACACTTAGAATTTCACCCTTTATGCTCAGCTGACGGTGAGATTCTAAGCTAAGATTCTAAGAGATTCTCAGCTAGCTATTTTACCTTAGGGGCTCGGTGACGGTAACAGCTTTACGCCAGTTGACGCAAAACATATATGCGCGCCTTTTACAAGCTTATGCGTAAGTGTAAAAGCCGCAGTACGTGTTGCCTCCTTGAGTCATTTATCTCACACTTGCATATTGTCCGCAGTGGTCCAAATGCAGCCAAAGGTCCGCGAGGACCTACTGCAGACCGAGTACCTGGTGCGGCGTGGTGAAGACGTCAAGATTACCGTGCCGTTCAGGGCCGCGCCGCCGCCGAAGGCCGAGTGGCACCACAACAGGAAGACCATCAAGAAGTCGAGAAAGGTCAGAGTTTGTCCGCACGCCGATGTGTCGCACGCTGACCGCTCCGGGTTGACCGCTGACCGCTCCAGGTTGACCGCTGACCGCTCCAGGTTGACCGCTGACCGCTCCGGGTTAACCGCTGACCATTCCGGGTTGACCGCTGACCGCTTCGGGTTGACTGCTCGCTCCGGGTTGACCGCTGACCGCTCCGGGTTGGCCGCTGACCGATCCAGGTTGACTGCTGACCGCTCCGGGTTAACCGCTGACCGCTCTGGGTTGACTGCTCGCTCCGGGTTGACCTCTGACCGCTCCGGGTTGACCGCTGACCGCTCCAGGTTGACTGCTGACCGCTCCGGGTTGACCGCTGACCGCTCCGGGTTGACTGCTCGCTCCGGGTTGACCTCTGACCGCTCCGGGTTGACCGCTGATCGCTCCAGGTTGACCGCTGACCGCTCCGGGTTGACCTCTGACCGCTCCGGATTGACTGCCGACCGCTCCAGGCTGACTGTTGACCGCTCCGGGTTGACCGCTTACCACTCTGGGTTGACCGCTGACCGCTCCGGGTTGACCGCTGACTGCTCCGGGTTGACCGCTGACCGCTCCGGGTTGACCGCCGACCGCTCCGGGTTGACCGCTGACCGCTCCAGGTTGACCGCTGACCGCTCCGGGTTGACCGCTGACCGCTCCGGGGTGACCGCTGACCCCTCCGGGTTGACCGCTGACCGCTCCGGGTTGACCGCTGACCACTCCGGGTTGACCGCTGACCACTCCAGGTTGACCGCTGACCGCTCCGGATTAACCGCTGACCGCTCCGGGTTGACCGCTGACCGCTCCGGGTTGACCGCTGACCGCTCCGGGTGTTAACTATTTCAGATTCCCCTTAATGATTTTTGACTTAGGCATGTGGAATGCTGCAGCGCATTTTCTAGTCTCCGTTGGGTTGGCCTATACTGTAGGTCAAAATGCTACTTTTTTGTTTTCCTTCTCCATTGAATTTTGCTTTTCTACAAACTGCAGTATGTCTGTCGTCTTGTAGCGAAATCCAGATTGCTTTGCTCGGCATGGAGCTAAAATGACGACTGTTGCACGATGAGGCAAGAAAGGCTTGATTGAGAACACATCTGCTTGACTTTGCCATTAACATCTCACACTCAGTTTGTGATCATCGTTCTAATTTTCCCCTGGCCGTCCGACAGCACCTGCCCACAATCACTGAGTCGGAAGCGACCATCACGGTGAAACAGGTGGAGGACGCCGACTGTGGCACATACACACTCAAGCTGGGCAATGACGTCGGAGACATCTTCGTCAACATCTCACTCAAGATCATGGGTAAGTCGGCAGGCGAGCATCGTCTGTTTTGTGTTGCAATCAGGCACCTCGTCTTTATATTTGTTTTTTATCTGAAAGTGAATATCCTATACTGCTGCTTACCACATCCCTTCTGTTGGCCCGTTGGTAGGCAGAATGACGCTTGCACGCCACCAACTGGTCCAGGCTGGATGGCGCTGCTCTCAGTGCTGGTCACATCTCGTCCATGTATCCGAAATCGTATTTCCCCGACGAAGTCGTCATGATATTTGCCTGCCTTCTGTATGGGCCCGTGAGCGGTAGCCACAGGCTGCCGGTGACCGCGCCAGCGCCCCTGACGCGGCCGGGCCCGCCCGCAGAGACGCCGTCCAGGCCGGGTCGGCCGGAGCCGGTGCAGGTGACGGACACCTCGGTGACGCTGCACTGGACGCCACCCGAGACCGACGGCTGCTCGCCCATCACCAACTACGCCATCGAGTACCAGCTCAAGCTGCAGAAAACGTCAGTCCGGCCGCACAGTCTGATCCGATTTTCAGGCTCGATCAATGTGCTTAATACCATTGAAGGGCCGTGTATGTTGTATGGAGACGAAGGCACTGGGAGGCTGCAGCGAAAACTGTGCTGATGTGTGAGGACCAGTGGTAAGCCGTCGATCGTGTGGCCATCACTGTTCGTTTGTGACTTGCGAACCTGTCCAAAGTTACCGGTAATGAACCTGACAGCAAACGGTCGGTAGAAAGGTCGTAAAGGCAGTCTGTAAAACGATCGTGTAGAACGGTAAACGGTCAAACGGTCCATGTGTTGGCTCGTTCCACATGGGTGCCATGCCTGGATATCAACGATGAACCAGCCGCACATTTGAGGTCCGTTCACCGCTCTCGGTATGACTGGGACGCCACGCAGTATTCACATGACGTGGCTGAATATCTGCACAGTGCCTTAACAACTGTTCTCGACGGCAGGTGGACCAAGTACGAGGAGACCCGGGTCGTCAAGGAGACGACCCGCATCGTGACGTCACTGACGCAGAACACCGAGTACCGGTTCCGGGTGTACGCGCTGAACGAGATCGGAGCCAGCGAACCCTCGGAAGAGTCGGACTTCATCAAAGTCACACGTCAGTAAACGGGCCCTCGCTGGTGATGAGTGATGTGCGTCCGGTTACAGACCTTGCGTGTCATCATGTTCGCGTGCCTCTCACATTGTGACGACCAGCTGATGGCTAACTGCCAGACTTAACTCAAAGTGATGTGTGTCATGATCTTATCCCCAGCTGATAGATTGTAAGTGACAGGGATCATAAACAAACACGAGTAGCATCCATGCAGCGCCTGGGCACGACATGAGCCTAACGATAGTGACTTTGGCTGACTTACACGTGATTTGAAGACTTCCAACAAGACTCTACCCGAAAGCGGCTTCGTTTCGGTGGCTGCTCAGTACCACCCCATCTGATTAAGCTATGGTGCTGATGGCCGTGGACGCCTTAGCTGTGATTCGTGCGTTGTTCCTGAAGCTGACGCTGGCGTTTCAGAGCCCGTGTCCCCGGAGCGGCCCTGCGTGGTGGAGGACCTCAAGGACATGGTGGCTGGCCTTAACGAGCGTCTCACGCTGCGCTGCGTCATCACGGCCGTACCGCAGCCGGAGATCAGATGGTGGGTTGGAGTCATCGCTCGGGGTCTGGGCGCAGCGGTGGGGACCAGGTAGCGGTGTATGGTGTTGTAGGGGCCTCGGAGCCGCCTTGTGATTACGTTATGAGTAAGGGGTGATTGCAGGTCAGATGGTGGACGTGGCGGCTTTGATGTTGGAGATCAGATTGGGATGCATCAGGATGAACAAGACCGACTGGGGAATCATGTCTCCGAATCTTGACTGATATACCTTGAAACGCGTCCTTCCTGTAGCAGGGGTGATATCCTGGTGGCTAAACGGCGTAGTTACGACAGCATGAACTTGTTAAAATAATGGATGCGATAAAACCACCGTTTTTGTCCTGTCCCGCGTCGCTCCACCACTGCGTCTGCCCTGCCCCCATCGTCACCACCCCGGACCCTGCAGGACCCGCAACGGGAAGCCGATCAAGACACGCAAGGCCAGCTACGAACAGCACGTGGCCACGCTCACCATCGAGGACACGGTGGAGAAGTCAGCCGGCACCTACACCTGCCACGCCACCAACTCCGCTGGAGAGGTGGAGACCAGCTGCATGGTCAAGATTCAAGGTGAGGTCCGCCGCCCGGGCGGGCTGAGGTCGGGCGCGAGGTCGTTCAAGGTCGTCGCGGTGGCTCGAGTTGACACGCTTTGTCTTGCAAGAACGGTATGTGAGTAGCGTGGTGGCTGATGATTAGGTATGGGATTTGTAGCAGGGCTGTTCAATAGTTGCATCTGTTTGTTCCGGAAGGAGGGAGCTTGTGGCCGCTCTCATTCAAGTATAAATGTCTCGGTTGCGCACATCATCGTGTAATGTCAGTCATGAGAAGAAGCAATTTGTCGTGTTGGAACTAAGTTGTTGTACCCAAAATAATTACTCACGCCGATCTGTAGGAGCATCGACCTTTAGGACTACACTCAACCAGATCTACGACGTAAGATGCCAACAGCCGCTGTAACTGCCTTTCAGAGCCGCCCGCTCTGGACTACGACAAGTCGCTGAAGGAGCAGCGTCTAGAGGTCAACGCCAAGTGGACGCTGACCGTGAAGGCGACAGGCATTCCCAAACCCTCCCTGCAATGGTACAAAGGCGACGAGCCGGTCTCGCCGTCCTCCCGGCTGGACGTGCGCACCGACGGCGCCTCTACGCAGGTGTCGGTGTCGCAGCTGACCCGCGAGGACACCGGCACGTACCGCCTCGTGGCCACCAACGACGTCCGCAGCGTCACCGAGGAGTTCACACTGCGCGTGCTTGGTGAGTGACGGCGCTGGTGGGGGTGTAGGGGGCCCGCTGGGTGCTGCGGCGATGCGCGTGGCGTTCGGGGAGAGGAGGAGGGGTCTTGGGTTTCAGAATAGGCGACTGTCCGTGTCGCTGGGTTGTACATGAAACGTTGCGTCATGCAAGGATTTAAGAATGCCCGTTTTTCCATACTGACGGAGGTAAAAGCATTTTTGGCGTCGGTTACAGTGTGAACAGTAGCAGAAGAACGACAGGGGCAAATTCCCACCTTTGTGACGGTGTATTCGTTTGGGAATATTTCACCCAAATTGCCCCTGAAACTGGTCTCTTGTCCGAAGTCGTCATCTTCATAGCGTCCGAAGCAAGGATGCGTTGTATTCCGATTTCGAAGAGTCCCGGATGAGGAGGCGATTGATATGGCCCGCGATAGAGCTGTTTGTGGAAATCAACGACTCGCTTCAGGCTGCTGAGGCCTTGGAGCATACGGTTTTCATCGCCACCAGCTGTTCAACCTGGGTGAAGATAACTTGCTATTTTTGTCGGACAAACAGACAGAGGTGCCCAATCTGAATCGAACCGCGTATGGCATATCAGTTGATGGGCCGGTAGTTCATTTGACAGCAGTCTTGATCTCTGAATACGGGTCACACCATGGCTCTTCACGGATAGGCTGGAAGCCATCCATGCTTATTTACTGTGATTTTTGTGAACTCCGGTCCCGTAATTTTCCTTGACGGCCCGAACCATGGTCAATTAATGCCAAGTATCGAGAAGCCGGTGTCACATACCACATGTTGTGTGTGTTGTAGACTACAGCAGACGCTCAATGAGCAGAACGCGCTCCAGTAGTCCAGAGATGATCGGTAATCTGTCAACATGTCTTGTGTCGTTTGCTGCACACCACGTTTCCCTCGCGTTTTGGAGCATTATGTGGAGCCGTGCTCGCATTCCCTCTGTGCTACCCCATTGAGACGCGCTACGGATGTCGAGCTCCCTGTGCCCTCGAGTCCCAAAGTGCCTTTAAAGTTTGAAGCCCCGTAAAGTAATTGAAAGCATTGTCGCTTACCTGTTAAAGTAGACTGTTTTACTGGTTGTTACCTCCCAGGAAGTAATTGTAATAGTGCGTGGCAATGGTACGATTAAAAACAGATAAAATAGTACGATTAGTACCAAAATGGTACGATTTGAGTGGGATACTATCAGAGGAAACAACAGTATAAGTGGTCAGCACAAACTTGCCTCCATGGTGAGGTGGAATAATCTGGAAAGGTTGAAGAGGACTGAATCACGTTGCAAAAACGGCCGAATTGTGGTCATGTTTAAAAATATGCTTGATACGTTTGAATTAAGCGTGCTTCCTCATGGACCACCTGGGCTACCCGCTCTGTATCTGTGTTTCTGTGACTAAGTTCATTGCCAGGCGCACTCGTTTCACAGCCGATGTGTAAATGTTCCCGGCATCAACCCATCTACACATTTCTCACCATCCCATGTTTTTGTGAATAAACGATGTGCGTGCGCTCTACGCAAATTATTGTGCTTGGGTATTAACGTTGGTGCCTAGTTCGAGCATTTTCCCAACTGTTACTACTGATGTCATGAACGTGTGTGTGTCGCTGGTTAAGTACAAATGTCTGGGCAATGAGAGTACCGTGCGTTCCCCTGCTGTCCCAGCGTTCATTATGGACTTACTTTCTGCGTGGGCAAAGCGCTTGCTCTTGGGGTCGTCTCCACATTAGCTATACAGTATGTATGTGCAGTCCAGTATGACCATTTAAAACAGGCGTCTTGTGATAGCGTAATGCCGTTGCATGGTTATGCTGATGCTTAGGTGTTGTGATACGGAATCAGCGCAAGATTGTGATACTCCTTTTGGAGTATTTCCGCCATCGCGATAAATGTGACTCTGCGAGTTGTCACCCCGGCACGTCTCTCAAAAAAGTAATCGCTCCCAGCCATCTGATAGGTTTATAAACGGCTACCTGATTATTTTCCATGTTACCCTAAAATACTCGATGACTTAGCGTACCATCAGACGGAAGAATTTAGCTGCAACTCCTCAGCGGCTGCGCTAATGACTCAGTGACAGCTGGCCGCCATCGCAGCCACCCGACGCGTGCATACTGACCCCTCGGCCGCCCCACACGCAGACAAGCCGAGCCGGCCGGAGGGGCCCCTCAGCGTGCGCGTGGGGGAGAAAGAGTCAGTGACGCTGGACTGGAAGCCGCCTTCCGACGACGGCGGCGTCGACGTGGCCGGCTACTTCATCGAGAAATTCGACACCAAGAAGCAAACCTGGATGAAGGTCCGTGGGGTGACTGAGGATCCTCGTGTGCAGTCAGGATGCTGCGTGATGACCGGACGTCTTCGATGTGGCAGGCTCAGTCGGACGTGTTTACTTCTATTCCAGCCTGCGAGGCAAGCCCAGTCTTACGATGACCACCACAGCCATCGTAAGACTGAGCCAGTGATGATGGCCATCGATGACCACCGCAGTCTTATGATGACCATCCCAGTCTCATGATGACCAGTCCAGTCCTATGATGACCACCTCAGTCTTATGATGACCACCCCAGTTTTATGATGACCATCCTAGTCTTATGATGACCACCCCAGTCTTATGGTGACCATCCCAGTCTTATCATGACCACTCAAGTCTTATGATGACCACCCCAGTCTTATGATGACCACTCCAGTCTTATGATACGGTACTGATATTACAACGTTTCGCGGTTTGGGGCGGTGAGTGTACGGGGTCGCCACTGTGAGGCATCTCGTGAAGCGGCAGTTGCAGATCACTGTCCACGAAGCTAAAAGGCAAGGAGAAAGGCTAAGATAAAGAGCTCAAGAAGGACACAAAAATCGAAGTCAGAACCCCGAAATGTCTACGAGCACCACGTGCTAACGACGCATCACGCACCACGCGACGATGCAGTTTTGTTGAAGCGTCATTACCGTTTCCAGGTGGCAGACATCGTGGGGGACATCCTCACCTACTGCGTGCAAGACCTGCTGGAGGGACACGAATACTTCTTCAGGGTGTACGCCTTTAACGTCCTGGGAAGCTCGGAGCCCCTTGAAACTCAAGAACCCGTCTTGGTTATGAAGCCGTTCGGTATGTATATGATCGTGACAGTACATGGTAACCGTACACAAAACTTGCCTGGTGTGAAAGTAACCATCCACCGTTCGAAAAAAGCCATGGTTTGCAAGTAAGAAGCATTCTCTTTGTGTTTCGTTTCAATATTTTTGCTATATTCGGGCATTTGACACCATTTCGTGCCTGTATTACAAGGTGTTTTTTTATGTCAAGTGCACTTCCAATGACTCAAAATTGTGCCCTGTCTGTTAAAAATCCTGTAAACTTCGTTCCTTACGCTCTCAACCGTCCTCTATGCGGCATACGCGGCCGCCACCAACCTGCCGTAAAAGGTCCCCTCGACCTCACCTTGCCAGCGGCTCCTGCCGGGTCTCCCCGCCCGTGCCGCCTGCTGGCGAACCACCCCACCTTGGCCTGCGTGTCCTCCGCTGCCGCCTTCCCCTAGGCCGTGACGTGACGACGCCCCGCTGGCGCTGACTGTGCACCGCGTGCCGCCAGACCTGCCGTCGGCGCCGCTGGGTCCGTTCGAGGTGAACGCCATGGGCGACACGTCGCTGACGCTCAGCTGGCAGGAGCCGGAGACGGACGGCGGCGCCGCCATCGTCGAGTACCTCGTCGAGCGGCGCAATGTCGGCAAGAAGGCCTGGCAGAAGGTCGGTTGGGCCGCGCCGGCGGTGCTGGTGGTCGGACGGTTCAGGCTTGGGGCGCTGGCCGCGCCAGCGGCGCTGGTTGTTGATGGGTGGTGGCCGGCAGGGGGGCGGCGATGCCGATCAGATGGATTGGGTGTGGGATGGGAATGCGGCGGGTTCCAGTGGTGGGCGCAGCTGCCTATGTTGGCTTGGTTTTGGTGCTGAGCCGGTACGGTCTTACGAGCTCCAACCTGGCGGGGTTCTGATATAGCATCGGGACAGAATATGACGTACAGGAATGAACACTACGTTTCATTGGAACGGAAACGGGAGATGTTGTTATACTGGTCACATTGATTTCATTTCACGAGAATTCTGTTCAAGTGTAGGTAAACGCCCGTACGCGTGTATAACAGACGCTGGCTGGCTGGCAAACACGAGCACTACCTTCTTTATGCATAGATTTAGATATGCTCGTTTGGTGCATCCGGGGCACGTACGGGCGTTCTCCATGGGTCAGGGCCCGTAGAGTTTCTTTGGTGTGCCATCTGAAGTCGCACAACCTCACGGTCGTGAGTGGTCTCAGTGGTCTGGCCGTCCGTCTGGCCGTCCGCTACCTGGCCTGGTCGGCGCCGCTGGTGACTTCACGAAAAGAGCTTTCGCAGAGCTTTCGCCTGCAGCCGCACAATCCCATTCGTGGATCGTCGTGACGTCGCGTTACGTCACGTACCGTCGCCAGGTCGGCACCACGGACAGCGAAACGCTGAAGATCGACGTCACGGGCCTGAAGAAGAACATGCAGTATAACTTCCGCGTGACGGCCCGTAACGCCGTGGGCGCAGGCCCGCCGCTGGCGCCCGAGGACGCCATCACAGTTGGCAAGCGGCTCAGTGAGTGACGCCGCGCGTGACGCCCCGGCAGCGCCCTCGCCGTCCTGGCAGGGAGCCGACGTGTGGGGACGTGTTGTGGTGCTCCGCTAGCTCGCTGTGCGTGGCTGTATGGGACAAACGGCTGTGTGTAAAAGGCAGGCGTAAATAGTGACCTTTGCTCTTTAAAAAGCGCAATGGGGGATTTGGTCATATTGCGGATTTGTTCTTACGTGGTTTGTGACTATATGATGAGTTGTATGCCGTGCAAACTTAATCAGCCGTGTTCAGAATCCCGCCGCTTATGTTGGCCATAGCGTACCCCTCGCATGCTAGGCATATGTTAAGCGTAATCTGTATTGCACTGTTCCGTATAATCACTGTTGTCAACAACTCATGCGGTGTTGTAGCCTCGCAAAGTGTATTTGATGAACGCGTCGTTTTGCAGCGCCGCCATCGCCGCCGACACAACTGACCGTTAGTGACGTCACAAGTCGCAGCGTGACCCTGCAATGGGCTCCACCCACCAACATGGGAGGCGCCAATCTCACAGGTAACACTACGATACAGTAACCTTCGAATGACAAAATTCGATGGTGGACTGTTGCTTATATGCAAAGCGAGCTTCCATCTTTTCATCGATGAGCAAACGGCTCGCCTCCGTCGCTATCGCTCTCGTGAGGTGCCCGATGAACTCTGGGATGACTCTGCCTGTGGCTCAGCTCGAGTCTGTACGCTAACAAAGCTGACCCCTGACCCCGCTCCGTGCCCCCAGGCTACATCATTGAGCGCCAGGCGGCTGGTGCCTCGCACTGGGAGAAGGTGGTCACGCTGGACAGTTCGGTGACGCTCTACTCCATCTCCTACCTGAAGGAGAAGTCCTCCTTCTTCTTCCGCGTGTCGGCCGAGAACCCCATCGGAGCCGGCGAACCGGCCGACACAGACCTGGTGTCGCTCAAAACGCACGCCAGTACGTCAGGCGGCGGGGGAAAATCCCTGGCCAATAAGCCATTTTCTCTTCTGAGAATCCAATGGAGCATTATGGCACTGTTAATGCGGCCTTAGTGCTCAACACCAATCTTGATTCAGTTGCTGCGATGAAAGCAATATTTCGGAAAAATGTTGCGCAAACGTGAGGCTATTCTTCGTCACACAGCCCATCCTTGTGCGAATACAAAAGTGCTATCCACCTTTTCACATGCAAGTTGTTCACATGCATGCGTGTGTTTTTCAAAGGCCTGCCCCGCAGTGTGTCGATACGGCCGCTCCCATTACAGCGCCTCCGTCGCCGCCAACGGCACCGCTGGAGATGAGGTCGACGGGACCCAACTCGCTGCTGGTGGAATGGGGCATACCGGAGTCCGATGGAGGTACGGCAGCAGCTAGGCAGTTGAACAGGAATCTGGGGATGAACAGCAATCACTACATCACGGGTTTAATAAGGGGCGCGTTAAAAAGTGAGGTAGCAGTAGCAGCTTTGCATTAGATTCTTTCCATTGTTTTACAAAGGTGCAAATGCTTAGCATTCCTGAAAAATGGGGTTGCCGTGGCACCCGCATCCCCTGGCCCCCCGCCCCGTGCCACGCCCACTACCGTAACACAATATACGTGTCTGGTCGTGTGTGATGCGGTAAATCATCAATTTGCGGATGCCAACCCAGGGTAGGTGTATTTAATTATGACCTTATATGTAGCATATGGGCATCTGTATTTGGGTCCATTACTCCTACGCCGACACGTATCCCGTAAAAATCACTGATGTCTATGGAGGCGGACTCCGCGCCTGGTGTGTGAGATTCACGAACCTGTGTTTGTCAGGCGCGCCGCTGGAGGGCTACCACGTGGCCATCCGGGACGCGCGTCGCACCATGTGGATTCAGGTCGGCATGGTGGGCGCCGACGTGACCCGGCTGCAGATCAAGGAGCTGCACGTGAGTACTCTGTCGTCGCTCTGGTCATTGGCCCGCCCTGCCGCGCGCGTGTCACGTGTCTCCGTCGCCATCGGGTGCCGCCCCCTGTGCCGCCTCATAACTGAGCTGTTTCCGTGGCCCATGTGCATCACTCGCTCGCCTGTGCCCATATGTCCGCCCTGTGGTCCTCTTTCTAGCCTTACTCTGCATCGTCGCAACACAACGTCTATCCGGGGCAGGCTCCAAACACTAGCCATGAGTGAGCTCAGGTGTCCCGGGTGGGAGGGGGGGGGGGGGGGGGGGGAGCGCCCGAGCGTCGACCACGCACCCTGAACAGAGGTCCCTGTGCGGGTTAAGTTTCCGTGGATGGACCCACAGGTGCATGCAGTTTTCCCCATCATTATACACTGTCCTTTATCCCATAGCCCTGAAATGTTAATTACTGGTCGAAAGAGCTCTAATCCAAACCAAACCAAAGGCCATGTGCACTGTACCCGCTGTGCAGTTCGAGATGTGCAAATTCAATGCGCCTCGCATGTGTTATAGTTGTTTGCCTTTGCCTATGTGCGTCGGCGCTTTGATCCCGAAATGTTACTGCTGATAAAGGCGTCTTGAATTTTGTTTTGTGTCGTGGATACGCGATACACGCGCGCGCGTTTTCGTGAAGAGGAGAAAGACAGTCATGCATTTCGCTCTGACATGCGAGGTGGCGTGTAAACACAGACAGTCCCCATGTTGCTGTCGTCTTCTCAATATTAGCCGTTTTGTTCTTGCCTGCGGCCAAAACCATCGCTCCCGCCATCGCTTCTTCCAAGCTTGCGCCCTGCTCTCCATGTAACCCACCCGTCGCCGCTCGCAGGAGGGCCACGAATATTATGTGCGGATCTTTGCCAAGAACGAAGTGGGGACGAGTGATCCCCTGGAAAGTGAGGACGCCGTGAGAGTGGTGCGGCCGGCAGGTGAGCCTTCGCCGTTGTGTCTTTAAAGCGATGTGAAGTTCCCACGGGCGCACCGTTCTGCGCAGCCCGCTAGGTCAGTTATCACTGCCTGCAAGCTGGTGCGGGCAGGTGCGTCCCCCCCCCCCCCGCGCCCGTCATTAGCCGCAGGTGAAGCACCCGTGCCAGAGTCATGGAACTGGCAGGTGGGGGCTGGTCGTGGGAGTGTGAAGGCCGACAGGTGTGTTTTCATCGCCGCTGTGGTCGGGTCACCAGAGGAGTTCTCGGCGCCCATGGTTAAGTCTGGGGGCCTCAGTGTTTATGTTTGATATGGCTGCTGACGCTTCGCCTGATGCGCTTACCTGTCAGCGTATCGGCTAATGAGTTCAAGCACCATGTAGGCTTCTCACGTGACTTAATTTGTACGTCAGTGTTCGGACCTTCAGATAACGCTTGCATCTTATATCATTGTGTCAGCGTGCACTGTTCACCTTATTGCTCAAAAGCGTAAGCTGCCGGCACCGCTTTTTACCCTACTTTTGACGTATTTAGTTAGCGCCTACGCCTTGGGGTATTACCAGACAGTCAACTTTTACCAAGAAGGACGGACGAGGTCACAACGGGGTGGGAGCGCACTGATGCGTAGTGTCATCTTATCCGTTACATGATGCGTGCTTACCCCGTGGCATGTAAATGCATATATGTGGCTGGAAAATGAGCGACTTGTGCCTGGCCTGAAGATATGTAAACCGTGGGTCTTGTTCATGTCTGATGCATCAGCATCATCATCATTGCATCATCACTGCATTAGCGTGCCTTCAAAAGCCCGGCAGTTTTACTCGATGACGTGAATTAATCTGGAATTCTTCACATTTTTGGTGAGTGGCGAAAGTTTGGAAAATGCTTGTGCTTCGGATGTCAGTTGGTCACAGTGAATTGGGCCACGTGTCTATGTCGTGGGCGTGGCCTGGTCTATTTCGTTGTACTTAGCTATATGTATATATATATACGTATATTACATTTACATTGTATATATTTTATTACATTGTGGTACCAATCTCACCACAACGTTGTTTTGTATGGGCGGTTTCGGCACAGCTTTGATTGGTGGTTTCCTCGCCCACTACTCGCGCGCATAGGGGTCGGGCAGTGTTTAGAGCGGTCGGTGATTTGAAGACGACACGTCCGCGTACGCGGAACGGCTGGCGCCGCTCCTGTACGTGCTTTGGTTGCGGGGAGCTGACATCACTTATCAAAATACCTGAAAACGAGCGGGCTCGTGGTATAAGCTCAACCGCGTGTGGGAGTCCACATGCAAGAAATCAGGCGCTTGCCAGCACTGTTGGCCGTTTTCTCCACCGTTGGTATGAGTTCAGTCTTTTCGCCGCGCGAAAATTGTAGACGCTGCGTGTTAACGGAATGGGAGGGTGAGATTGTTGTGATTTTGCAGCATTTTAAACGCACGCCACACGACCAAATAGCGAACATTTAAGTGTTTAACATATTGTAACAAGTTTTGCAGAGGCGTGTCACTTGCTGTTGAAAATTTTGTGCCAGTGTGCTGGGTGGTTGCAAAGCTAAAGGCCCGTCAAAAGTATTGCTGGTCGGGTCGGGTCGGCCGAGCAAGATCGCTGAAGCTAAAACAAAATCCGGTTGAATGGCGTTAGGACTAGCTGGCCTGTGGCCTTGCTCGTGACAAGTATTACATTATTTATATATTTAGTGATAATATTTTCTCACTGCTTACGTTTTGCGTTGGTATCCACACTTAAAACCAGTTACGAGGCTTTGCGGAAGTGCTTGCTTCTTACGCTGGTGTCCATGGCCTACGCTATCTCCGTTCTTCGTGAGCGTTCACGCCTGATTGTAATGCAAGCTTCGTACGCTAGTGGTCATATCAGACGGCGTGTTGTCACTGTGTTTAATCGCTAGTTCCTCTGGCGGCTTCTCATCCCTAAGTCGACGAGACGGGCAGTTGAGTTGTAACCAACTGTTCACCATGACACTCATAATACACCGTCCAGGGGCTGCCATCGCCCCCCCCCCCCCCCCCCCGATCTCGCTTCCATTCCACCCATGACCTGGGCTGACCCGACCTCGGCCACAGACTACCTGGAGGCGGAGACGGTGGAGGGCGCCGAGTTGGACCGCACGCCGTCCCTCAGCGTCACCACCGAGACGTCCTCCTGGATGCGCGAGGCCGGCATGGACGCCGACATCCACTCCTACAGTCGGCTGGCGCTGCTCCGCCGCGATGAGTACTTCTTCCGCATCTGGTACTACTCGCAGGAGCTCTTCAAGTGAGCGCGCACGCGCCTGTTTGACCCGCTGCCGCGTTGTTGAATCAGATCGCGCCGCGCCGCGTTTGTACCTTGCGTGAGTAGCGCCGGCGGTGGGGGCGGCGCCAGGGTAGCCGCGCGCCGCCCCGCCGTCTTCGTCGCCTCGTGCGATTCGTCCTGGCCGCCGGCCGCCCGCCAGCATTTGCATTACCCGGTGTGATATTGTAGCCAGGGATCTGCGGTGTACATAATCATTATGGGGGATCCGATACGACGGAAGGCGCCTCGAGACCGAGGACGGCCGCTGTGCAGTGCGAGGACGCGAGCTCGCGCGCCCCGGCTCCGCCCGGCAGGGCGGTCGGCCGCCTCAGGCTGACCCCCTCTCCATCTGCGGCCGGCCGCCCGACCGGGCGGAGTGGAACGCACGCGGCGACTTGACCTGACCCCGGCCGGTCGGCCCCTGCTGACCCGATGACACCTGGCGGACCGGCCGGGGCGGGGCTCCGCGGCGCGCGGGGTGCGCGCGGCATTATGAGGGCGAGACGTTTGGGAGCCCGCTGGTCGCGGGCCGAACGTCAACGAGTTGTGTTACTTGTTATGGGGCGAGGTGTTGGAATATAGTAGTATCGGATGTGCTGCGTGTTTTGGTGAATCCTCATCTGGTGCTACTCGCGGGAGCTCTTCAAGTGAGCGTGCACGCGCCTGTGTGACCTGCTGCCGCGCTGTTGAATCAGATCCCGCCGCGCCGCTTAGTGGTGGTCATTGGCAGAGGTTGTGAGAAGATGACTTCCGTTTCTCCGAGGATTAAGTAAAGTAGGAATACCAATGGCCAGTAACACAACTAATTTCTGTTGTATCTATTGGCCATTAATCACGAAAAATCAACACTATGATGGCTAACATTAAGACAAGTTGTCACATTAGTTAGCACGTTTTTCAGTTCGGCTTATATACTTTTTGCTCTGTAGCACAAGATAGGCCGCGTGCGTTAGAAAGACACCGAGAAACTGGCTAGGTCTTTGATTTGACAATTGTTAAGTCAATTTTTCCCCCATTTAGTCAAGACGTCTATGCATCCGTCGAGGCGCATGAACCCTCGCTGCCTCAGCTACCCACCTCGTTTGCACGTCACCCACGACTATGTCTGGTCAAAAACGTTCTGCATGACGGACATAAATCTGAGATCGACCCAGTTCCGAGCATTTGTGTGTGGTGTCTGCTCCAGACACTCCTGGCGTCTGCTCCAGACGCTCCTGGTGTCCGCTCCAGACACTCCTGGCGTCTGCTTCAGACACTACTGGCGTCTGCTCCAGACACTCGTGGTGTCTGCTTCAGACACTCCTGGCGTCTGCTCCAGACACTCGTGGTGTCTGCTTCAGACACTCCTGGCGTCTGCTCCAGACACTCCTGGTGTCTGCTGCAGACACTCCTGGTGTCTGCAGCTTAAGTTGGAGCCCGTGTCCGGCCGGTAGTTGTGCGTCCGGTTTCATCAGCTTCTTACGAGACGGCAAAAGACGAGGATAGTTCGCTTCACATTGTTAGTGTGAAAATTGTGGAGAACGCGTCGCCGATCGCTTCGTAACGGAAGTGATAGCCTATGGCCGCTGCTGAATCTTACGCAACCTAGCCCGCTAAGTTCAACCCAATACACTAAACGGAAGCCGACCGCAATCATCCGGAGAAATTTTCACCCACCCAACAAACACAGCCCAACAGGTTCTGGAGCACGCGTTCATGTACGTTATACGGCTCTTTTAGTTGTATTGCTGCTAAAATGACGCTTAAATGGTATACGGATCCTATATGGTTAAAAGTTGAAGTTCGGAACCAAAACCTCGGTCCAGGTCTCATGTTACTAGAATGTTTTACTTCGAGCCCGACATCTGTTGTTTTGAATTCAATCCCCGAGTCCTATTCAGTATGCCATTGAGCTGGCGAATCCGAGTCCGAGTCTGTCAACCGGCGGGAGGAATCCATTCACCGGAGCCCAAAGGCCGGAGGGTCATGATTCCGCGTCAGAGTCCGGCCGGACTCAGGCTCATGCCTGCAGCCGTGCTGGAGTGAGGTAGGTCTGTCGACCGGCGCTGGCGGCCAGCCCAACCCCCTTTACGGCCGTAATCCTGTTTAGCCCTGCTGCATAAGCGAACCGGTTGGGCGAGATGCAGCAAGACCGGATGATCAGGTAGCCGGTCCGGTTGCAAAATCATGCTTAATGGTCAGATTAGTGTATGAATATGCGTGGCTTGGTAGCTGTTAGCATGTGCTCATGTTAATGAACGATGTTCATAGCTTTGAATGGCGATGGCGGGAGACTATTATGCACCGGCAGCTGCAGATGATTAAGCGTATCGTGAATCCGCTGGCGATAAAAAGTAATCACCAGTCAGACTGTGCGTTGCCGTTGTTTGTAAAACGCTGGCAAGAGTCCGCCCTTCTCGTGCCCGCGATCTTACACAGTATTCATCGTGTTGTCTCGAAATGATCAGTGCACGTGAATTCCATGCGCAATGAACCGTCGCCCCACAATCATGGCTAGGCATAACGTCTTATGAGTATATTCTACATCACAGTATTCACAGTACGTACAAAAGCACACAGCGTTAAGACATTGATAATGACACATGCCTGGCGGCACCGGCCGTCGGCAGCCCCGCGAACAACACCCTGCATGCATAAGTTACACGACCTGACGCTAAGCGAATCACTGCTCAGGTATCTATGAAGTGATGGGTTTACATTCCCCTGGTTAGCGCCCCCCTCATGAGTAACGCCTGTCCAGTCAGCTGTGCACCCCTGACTCTTGTTCCGCCGTAGTGACTTGGGACCGCCGCGGGCGGCGCGTGACTCAGACCGCCCGGGGCTACCATGCGTCAGCGTCTGCGGCGAGATTCAGCGGCGGCGCCGGCGGAACAGGACTCGGCCGTCGGCTGGCCGGGCCTTACGACACACTGGACCGCCGCGCGGCGGATGCCGGCCAAAAGTGGACCGGCGGACAGCCCGACCTGACGACACACCGGACTGATGCTCGGCGACGACCGGCCAAAAATGCTGGCCGGACGCGATTTCGCGCAGCGGAGATTGGCGAGCTTTGGCTGGGCTAAAAGTCGGCGCGGAGTGTCTTGACTCAGGCAGCTGTGACGCTTGAGTGGGTGTAGCCCGCTCAGCCTTGTAGCTGGACGTCTGTCCGATCACTTATGGCGACTACTCGGGGTGTGTCTCGCATCGAACCGCGCCGTATCGCCCAACGTCTCACCTCTGACCTCGCGCCGGGCGCGGCGCCCTCACGAAGTAGTCTCCTCTGTGTCCGGCCGTGGCCGACTATGCGATGACTACCACTCCAACGCGTTCCTGGCGGGGTCACTGACGGACCTCGGCTAGGCCTCAGCTGACCTCAGCTGACCTCAGCTGACCCCAAGCCGGACCTCAGCCGGAACTGAGCCGGACTCAACCGGAGATCCGCAACAGTCCGAAGAAGCTGCGGTCTGGCAGCAGGAAGGCGTGCCGCAGCGGGTCCAGGTCCCGGACGCTGACCGCGTCCCCTGGCGGCACAGGCAACCGAGTCACTTTCGCGCGTCATGGCACGAGCCGTCGGCTCAGCATCAAACGATCGAAAGTGAACTCGGGGGAGGGGGGTGACGGCCGCACGTTTGTACAATTGGACGAAATCAGTGCTGAATTGCGAGTGCGAGTTGTTCGCTGTTGTTCGTTGATACGAAATCCCCCCCCCCCCCCCCTCCTCCATGGAGATGCAGCGCTAAATTCCATCTATCCATCAATCAGTTCATCTTTTCCGATTAACGCTCATTACAGGCCCTGTCAATACTGACCTATTTTTGGTAATTCCACTTATGTCACACGCTATACGCAGGTGTTAAAAAATCACAACTCAAGGCGCTTACTTTAAATTAGTACAATGCATGACGCCGCTGGAAACGCATATTTTAACAGCGCAAACCGAATCAACGATCAAGTTGGGGTAGAAGTCGATGACAGCAACGCATCGTCCCGTACGCATTGGTAACTGTATTCTCGCACGGACTCGTGCCCGCTGCCCGAGGCGAACGATGGGAAGAGGTTCGCCAGCCGTGAGAACCGCAGGTGTGACTCACCCTGGTTTAGGTAAATGGCGGCACCCGTGAAGCATGTGTTTGTTTTGTTCCGCAATTTGCTGGCCTCCGTGGTGATGCACTTGACCAGCGACTGTGCGTTCACTTGGATCTCGAACCCGTTGACGTCGTGTTCTTCTATGTGGTTAATCTGAAAAGAGCCGGGCGGAAGGTCGATTAGCGACGGCGCGTCGTTGATGCTAACTGGGCGGGCAGACCACGACAGACGTGACGTTTGCGGTGTTCTGTCACGATCATCCTGAACAGCATCCCATGATGTGTAAATAATCTGCAGGCTGTTGGAGTTTAAGGCACACGCGAGATGGCATCGCATGCGAGCGTGGGGGGAACTCTGCACTTGGCACTCGCGTGTGCCTGCACGGCACCTGTTCGGAGGAGAAATCTCTCCCATTGGCTGACACTAAGCCCGCATGAAGTGAGTGCCTTGTGCATGTTAGCTAAAGTCATGATCCCTCAGATAATGCGGAAGGCTCAAAACTGAAGGATCGATGTCGGGCTAACTGTAGAAGTCAGTCGGATTTCATGGCATCGTTAATTTGTTCGCGAAGTGCACAACCAAAAACAACTCATTCATCCTGCAGTGAAGAATTGCTGACCACTGATCGACTGATCGTTGTTTACGCCGTCGGTCGTTGAAATCTTTTTCCTGAATGCCTCCCATACGGACAGAAAGTCTAATAACCGCACTGCCTGGCTGTCGTCATGCAGCCAGACACCCTGAGGAGAAGCAGCCCTTTCCTGAAGAAGTGATATTCACCTTCACTGAACACCAGTGCACCAAGCCGCCCACACAACCTTGCGCTGTTCAGCACGGGATAGTTCTGGACTGTCGCAACGACAATGGCACAGAATATTTTGATAGTGAACAAGCTAGTGGGCACTGTGATCCAAACACGCTCACACTTTGACGCCTGCAGAACACACGAGGTGTCGCGGAGCAGGCTGAAGGGCGCGCGGAAACATACACTGCGTCTTGTTTTGGACAGTCGGCCGCCGCACGCACGTACTACGTACGCAGTGCGCAGACGCCACAGGATCTGGCTCATCTCAGCAGCTTCTGGATTCTGATCTTGACATTGAAAGCCTCGCGCTCGCATCGCGTAAAGTAAACATCAGCGGTAGCCGCAGGCGGGCCCCGCCCAGTAACGACCCCTCAAGGTCATGCGGAGGCCACGCGCGGATTCCGCTTCGCATTCGGTTTGCATTATTCCGGCCGCTCGTGCCACAGCGAAAGAAGTCTGAAGCAGCGCTTCGTCCACTCACACGTTTGCGCCACTCAGCCATGTAATCAGACCCCGTGTTACGGCGCAGACGGCGCTCGCCGAGACTCGGAGACCCCCGTGAGGCGGCGGTGCGACTGCTTGCCCCGCCGATCCTCCCCGCTCTCCGCCCAGACCATTTGGATCTTTCTTGCGCAGAGCTGGACCAAGGCAAAGCGCATCCGGGGGCGGAGATCGCTTCGTTTCCGTTTTCTGCAGGACTTCTGCGTGCCTTAGTGACGTCACGCGTCTGACAGGAAGCGCCGGTCGGCTGGACGGACGCGCTGGTGCCGTTCCAGCAGCGGTCCGCGGCCCGGCTCATAGGAACGGTGACGGCGTCGGCCGGGGCCGCGTCGGGACGGGCTATGACAGCGCGTCCCACGAGTCGGTGACCCGTGACTAACCGACATGAACACGTGGTTATGCACTGCTCGCTGACTTGTCTTGTTCAGTTGCCCTTTCAAAGCTTTCAACAGCCCAACCTGTGGCAACTTGACCCGACCCCATCGCAATTTGATCAGTGATGACCTTAACCAGCAACGATGTTATAGGTAGTGACCTGATGTGGTAGCCGGTGGTAAGTGATAGGGATATTTTCTTAGCATGACACAATAAGGAGGGACTTTTTCTAATATGTGCCGTCGTCTTGGTGATACGCAGCTGAATGTGCTTGTTTAAACAACAAGGAGAAACTCCAGCAATTTATGAAGCTAATATGAAATTGCCTGATCGAGAGCTGGCTGATACAACCACAGCTCAGATTGCAGGTTCCGGAGCACAAGTTGTGTCATGGATCGGGAATTCATAGACATCGTCCGTGTTCGGGTGATATCGTCGGGCCACCTTAACAAGAAAGTAAGAATAAACTAGCGGAACGTGCTCTTCGGCGCGGCATGAATCATGTGACAACAGGAGTGACCGTTATGATTATGCAGATTATGTCAAAACAAGCGAAGAGGGCTCAGCGCCCTTGGTAACCTACACCAATGTGTCAGTGAGTTGGAATGTCCCTCTTCCATGAATTCAGAACACGTACATGAATTGATATACGGCAGTTCCACATGAAACGCCACGTGACACTGCTTTATAACTGGCCTAGCTTTGAGCACTGCAAGGCTTGACCGTCTTAATCGATGGCATTGTCAAAGTCGGTATCGTTGGCTTTTCGATAATTCTCACTAAAGCAAGGTCTCCATCTCAGTGGTGGGTACAGAGGGGCCACCGTATCTGCCCCCTCTTGGGCCCCGAAGGAGCCATAACTAGCCGAAGAAACGCAGTTTCTGAGAAAAAAAATTGGACGTCTTTGGGTCTCTAGGCGACCAAGCACAGTCGCAAGTGAAAGTAGATGTTTTGAGAGTTGACAAAACTAATTTTTCGCTGGTTGGAAGAGTGGTAATAGGGGAGACTGTGAGGTTAATCACGCCGTCTAGGGGCCCTGCACTGTTGCCGGGGGCCCTGTACGCTCACTTGACGGTCAATCTGTTTGCTATGGAGCGTTCCACATTGCCCTTGATCCCTGCACTTGTTCGGAGGCCCTTACGCCGTGGTTGGGTGGCGTGATCCTCTAACATGTCGGGGCACTCTTAATCGATTCGGGGAGCTGCACAGATTTTTCTCATTCGGGTGCCGTCTCATTCAGGTGCCGTCCCTTTTGGTCCTGGGTTTTCCCATTTTATCGGATGGCCTATGCCGTCGGCCGTGACCTAAATGCTAGTTGGCCGGGAACTCTTTATCGCTCCAAGACCATCCACATCGATGGAGGCCTTTTTGTTGAAGTCAGAGGGATTTTACTCTGTTGCCGAAAGCCCACATGCGCTCACGAGCGGACACGGTGTTTCGCCTGCTCGTTTGTACGGGCCTGGCTAAATTCATTTATATCTATATGTCCAAGATCTACACGATGACGATTTTTTTTTGGCACCTCAGCCTTAAAGCAGCAGTCGGATGTGCTCCGATGAGTGTTGACGCCAATTTCCAAAGATAGTTTTACGCCCCACCGACGTCGCAACTGTCATTTTCGTTCGCTATTTAATTTTGCAACTTTTTAGGCTTGTAAATCACGTTCTTAAACCTTTTAAATGTTATGAGATTTTACACTCATTCATTACAGTAAACGGCGTCAGCAATCAGCCATCATGGTTGACTCTGATAGCATTTAGCAGCCACATTTAGCTCATTTTGTCAATGCTCTACGAAATACTTAGGTTCAAAATGGCAGGATGCACCATGATCTGGAGAAAATGAGCGCGTTCCATGTATGTGCACACGCGCTGCGCCCAGTTTTTCATGGCTGCGGACAGGAAAACGGTTTCCCGTATACTAAATAACATACAAAGTATCTTAAAATTGAATGGGCGCAATACAAAAATTTCTTTTTTGGAGGCACCTCAAACTCCAGGGGCCCCAAAAGTGTGCCCCCCAACCACACACAAACACGCCCCTTGACGAACTGCTGGATCCGCAACTGCATTAACCTGACTGGCTCACGATATGATGGGATAAAACATCACGTGGTGACCTGCGGGCAGAAGCGTGACACGTCCATGACCTTCCGAACAATGACCTGACGCGATGACGTCACGCAGCGGCGTACCTGGGCATACAGGTAGTAGAAGCCGGGCGTGCGCACGGTGACCTGGCCGCCGTACAGCTGAAACTCGTCGGTGCACGCCTTCTGCCTCATCCAGGCGGCCGGCCGCCACTGGGAGAACATCGAGTCCGGGTTGCTGTTCACCAGGCGGTAGTTGCCTGCGGTGGCGGATAGGGCCGGGTCAGCACGTGCCGTCCGTGGGACGCGGCGGCGCGCCGGCCTGAGGACGCCCCGCGCATGCGTCGAGTGCGTCCCGACGCCTCGGCCGTGGTGGCGTGCGGTGGCCATGCACGCGTGCGCCCGTGGATGGAATGTGCAAACGTGTTGTGGCGTGTGGTGGCTCCTTGAATTACGCAGGCTGTGCCTTGTGCACGAGCCATTAATGGCCATGGTGCATGGTGCATGGATGGCCATGGTGCACTGCAGGTGACAGTGTGTCTTGATCAGGAGGGAATTCTCAGCACATGCTGTAAGGCTCCGGTGTTACGTATGTGAACTGTCAAATATTGCCAGGCTATAACATGCTCCAACTATTTGTACTTAACCAATTGATGGCACATTTAAAATTCATGCACGCTATGGAAATATGATGGTAACGCTTATTTCTTTTTTGTTAACCGGTTACTTAAAAAGTGAACGTGATGAATAAAATTGTGAAGTCACATGTTGAGTTCAGGGTTTGCATAATTGCATATGCTCCGGTAAAGTTAAGACTTCAGACATTTCGCCTATCTTAGCTGGTGACTGAGGTGAATATTATTCCAATGAATACAGATACTCAAGCACAAATTAGCCACATAAAATGTGTTTTACACAGATGTTACCAATGTCCGTTACACATGCGTAATCAACTGAAGTTGTTCCCATACCAACAGCTGTCTCAATAAACGAAGAACATTCGGCACCCTATTCAATACGAAACAAATTGTCCTGCAAACACACATGTACCTATGCAGAATCCGAACAGCAAAACGTCCAGACGTTCAACACGCGCAGCAATCACAAATGCCCTGCATCAGATAACCCCGTTACTGAACTCCAAAGCGCATGGTCCCCAGCCATACATGCCCCAGCTTACGCAACTACCATGCCAACAGTGAGAAGTGATAAAAACCTTCACTACCGCGGTAGGAGGCCGACTTGCGTGTGACGTCTGAGATGTGGCCCTCGAAGTGGGCCGCGGAGCAGCGCTGGCGCCGCCCGCCGCGGCCCGAGCCGCCGCCGCCGCCGCCGCCGCCGCCGACCGGAGGGGGCACGTACGCCGGCGGCGAGCCACGGGCCTCCAGCACCGGCGCCGCCTGCCGACACCGGCGGCCGTGAGTGGGGCGCGGTCCGGGGGCGGCGGCCGCTGCCGGAGGTGGACTGGCGCTGAGAGGGCTGGGACATGATCGGGGGAAGGGTTGGCACGACCGATTGTTGCGTCCACATCACAAAGGCACGAAACTTATGTCCGTGTGATGCACCGCTGACAAAAGAGCACATACGGAGGGAAAGCCCTCGGGAGCACGCCGAGCCGAGTATGAAACAGATATCTATCGCTCTTTGTGCTGCGCTGTCAGCACGGCTGAGCTGGACAGCACACATGACGAGGCGGGGCAGGCCAAGGCAGTTGAGGCTTATGCCCGCGGCCTTTACGACCTGAAACACGTTTCAATGCTTGGCACGCCCATTCTTAGCGGTAAAATGGTTACCAAGGTCGCGTAATGCAGCCGAGAATGAAACAGGCCCATGCGTAACGGCCATGCTCAGTGCCATCATGCGCACACATGATTCAAGCTGCATGTACGGCTGCACAGGCTCATGACCTGTCAAACAAATGCTGCAGATATGTCCTGGTGGCTGGAGAATTCAGACAAAAGGCTCCCGCTGCACGTGCACGCATGCCACACTCAACGAACGCACGGTTTTCATGCACGGATTTCACGACGAATGCAGAGATCCATGGGAAGATAATTGTGAAGGAACATTCAGCGGGCAAACAAATACGCTCGAATGTTTAAACCACGGCAACATGCAAATTAGATTAACGTCACGTATTACAAACGAATCATATGTTAATGGTTCAACGATGGGGTCTAAATAGCATCGAACAACCGTATTTAGGCCCGATGGTCTAGCTAATTGATAGCCGACTTCATAAGCACATGCATCTGGGTTATTAACTATATCTGATAGCATTAATCAACAACAATCGCATCGTTAACCAGCTATCTCTCAACCCAAGTGGATGATTTATTGGTCACTTTAGCACACCGAAATACACCAACCAGATTACAAGCCCCAATATTTCTCAGCCCCCTTTTTGCCGAGCCCTGCAGCCTCGCGAGTGCAGGCTCGGGGAAGGTTCGTGTGCATGGTCCCCTCCACCCTCGCCCTCTCACGCGAGATCCAGCCTCGCCCGCGCCGTGCCCGATGACACCCCGCGCAGCGCCTCCATGCGGTTACGCCGTTATGGCGGTCGCTCGCGCCGCCGCCGGCCGAGCGGCCGCCCATGCCGGGGCGCTCTCGGCCCCGGAGGCTGACCTGAAGACGATAGCCCGCGGCGCGGGTCAGCGCCGACGCTTGGCTGCGGCCGGGCGCGCGGCGGCCCGACTGGCTTACCCGCGAGCGCCGGTGCAGCTCGGCGACGCGGCCCGCCGGCGCCGACGCGGCGCTCGCCGGCCGCTCCTCGGCCGCGATGACGGCGTTGGTGTTGACGCGGCCGAAGCGGCTGGCCGGCCGATGCACGGCGCTGCTCCTGGGTCGGGGTGGGGGCGGGTCAGGCAAGCGGGAAGGGAGGGGCAACAGGTGACGGGCGTGACTGAGCGTGACCGCGCGGACCTACAACAAACTGGACCAAACGAGTTTGTGTTGGGTGGGAACACAATTGATTAGATCAAATTGCATAGGGTATGCCTCGCAGTTTTAAGTTGGTCTCCACCCCGGTAGAATGTTGCAGGATTTCACAAGTGTGCTGCGAAGGCGCCTTCACTGTAAGAAGGGGTACAACTGAATACCTTCACCGTGAGCCTGTCTCCTCAGTGTTTGGACAGAAGCAAAAGACAAGAGCTTAGACACCATGATCCCTCTCCTTTCTTGCTTGAAGGTAATACTGCTGCGTCCCAACGACTGCCTCACTCCCTTTTTTCGTCAAAAGGTCGAGCGCTGGCACTGACCTGTGGTGGGGCTGGATGGACGGGTCGTCGGTCTCATAGTTCACGCTCGGCGCGGTGGGCTGCGCCCTGCGCTCGGCCAAGAACGTCTCGTAAATCCTCAGTCCCTCGCTGGGGGGCCGCCGCCGTCCGCCGTAAGGACCCAGGATGATGGGGACGCCGTCGATGGTGCGCAAATTCCCGTCGACGACGGCGCGACGCAACCGGGCGACCTGCTGAAACACGGCCAGGGGGGGCCGCCGGTCAGGTCGGGGCGGGCCGCCGGTCAGGTCGGCGGGCGTCGGACCGACCGGCGCACGGAGATGGGCCGCGGGCGAGGCGACTGGTGGACAGCGTGCTGTGACCATGGAGCTGGGATTGAGGCGTGAACTGTTGCGGACCTGGGATCTTCGGCCGTGATGAAACAGTGTTGAAGATGGAGCACGGGAAACCAGCGGAGGCAGGGTGTCACGGCGCGTGATGAGCGGCAAAGTTCAAGATTACCGACTATGTGGTGAATATCCCAGAAAAAGATGGTCATGAGTTCAAGTTGGTTTTGTTGAATCAACAGCCTTCAGTGACCAGGATATACCGGTTAAACGACGTTGCAATGCGAAGTACCGACTAAATTAATGGTAATCACTATTTCGAGCTGTGCTGATCCGCAAAAATGTGGTTACCTCAGTACGGACATAACCCGGATGCATGTACGGACATTGATGAGCACAGCCCGAAACTGGGTACCGTCAACATAATCCTTATGTATCACTACAACACCGCTGAATCATATCTTAAAGGTTCCCACCTCAAAAGGAAAATTTTCAGCCCATGATGTCGAAAAACTAGGAGCTAAATGTTTTTCTTTCTTATGTCGAGAAAAGGAGAATCTTGGCGCAAAAGACTTCAAAAAATAAGGAGTAAATATAAAAGAATGCACTGCCTTGCTTGTTTGCCTACTAGCCAACTTCTGATACACAGATGAGTTCAACAGTCCACGAAAGTGAGTGGCTGACAAGGAGGGCCTCAGCTGTTGCTGACCATGACCTGTCCGCCTGTGCGTCCTGTCCATACCAGATGGGGCCCCAGAGCTCAGCCTTGTCGGAGGCCTGGAAGGGCAAGTGATGAGCTGGTTCCTTGCGGAACAGTACACTTGAGACCTATACCGCTCAATAAACCGTTGCTTCCGGATGACATTAAAGGAATTGTTCGGGTCTTTCACACCGAAACCAAGTTATACGCTAAAATATGGCCAAGATGATGTTTGAAGCAAAAGAACGCCAACCATTTAACTGAAGCTGAATTTGTGCACTTGAACTACGTCAAAACGTTGAATGATTTCTAATAGCAGCTATCTACTATCAGCTATTGCACATATTTGACGTTTATTGAAATTTGGTTGAACCTCTTCATCGCGTAAGACTGTGGTTCAAAGTGATATTTGCCAATACCTTTGACTTATCCCCAAATCCGTGAAACATGCGAAGTCGCTTCGTGAATAGTGCATAACGCCATGAATTAAATGAACAATGAAGCGGTTGTGGTGCTGCATCTAACTGTTGGCGCTTGTACAAAGACGAAAAGACCTATGCTCTCGCTATGCCAAAAGTCCACACATTCCCTTCAAATACCAAGGATGCATGTTTCACGGATAAATGATGGAACATTCCGCCATACGCACGGACATCGACATGCCGTACTGTCTTACACGTGTATCCCTAAGTCAGATCATGTGGACTATCGCGAACCGAAGCCCAATCCGAAACAAACCATCCGTGGGCTTTTGGCGGCGGTTTTTTACCTGCACCAACACGAAACCGGGCGCCGACCGCAGCAGTCGGCGAGACAAGGTCAAACCCGTCCGTTCCCGCCGGGGCGCACGAATAAACCTGTCGTCTTCGGGCCCGCTCCCTGCGACTGAACGAGGCAGGCCAGCGCCGGCGCGCCGCTTCCGGCGCCGGCGAGCCGACCGGCCGCACCATGGCGTGCTATCGGGGCGCCGGCCGTGCCCACCCCGTCCCGCTTGCGGTCGCCGCTGCGGGCTGCAGCGGGAGCACCCCCCGGGGCGGCGCGTCACCCCGGCCTGCGCCACCAGGGTCCGTCTGCTCCCGGCCGGCGGGCCGTCTCAGCGGCATCCGGGGGACGGCGGGACGCCCGCGGGTGACGTGCGTCGCGACGGAGCCGGTGGCCGTCTGGCGGGTGTCACCCAGCGCCGTTCTGCGATGAGGCGCAGGCTGGGCCTGACGTGACTGCCGTCGACCCCACAGGAGCGGCGCGTGCCGGATGTATGGTTTTCCCGGTCAGTCGCATGACAGACGCTGCGTTTCTGTTCAGCTATAAATAACCCGAACATTCGTGCAATAAATTAGACAGGCGGCCGGGACTCTCGCTATTCAAATTGAAACAAGCCCTGCACGTCCGTGCGAAATAACATGGCGGCTGGCAGAAGAGAGCAGGGGCACCCTGGCGAAGCTGACTGGACATGAAGCGGTGCCCGGCCGCGGCACGCGTCGCGCCCGCCGCGGGGTTGGAAAGTCGCCCGCTGCCCTCGCGCTGGGAAGATCCGTTTCCGGGCCGTTTCGACAGGGTGGCACCAGGTAAACGCCGCGGGCTGGCAGGTGTGACGTAACTCGTCCGGGTTCGATGACCTCGCGGTCGGTCGGCCAGCGAAGCCTGCGCTGGGTGTCATAGCCACGCATCCTAGACCGTGCGGCGCAAATGTGGACGCTGCGTACTGGCTATTTGCCGACAATGACAATGGCATTTGTTGTCTGCGGATTCGATGAGAACGGGTTTCCCTAGGGACGATTAGGGGAGATCATACGTACGGAAGACGGCATAGCCTGTCTCGGATGGTCTGAGCGCGCATCGTTGCTTTGCCAGCTTCGGGGAAGTCGTTCTTTCCACTGTGGACGGAAGCGTGCTCTCGAGCAAGTTCGGTGAAAACGAGAGTCCGTCGTGGAGCACAGGGTGCGACGTGCACGGAACACTGACCATGCAAGGCTGCCGTTTGACAGCAAACGGATGTCGATGAAACCGAGTTTGGCACCACGGAGATCTTATCACTGCCATCACGGCTCGTATTGCACCGTGATAACCTAGTTCAAACACGTGAGGGGCTGCACTAGCTTTTCGTGCGTTTTTCATTGCATAGTCAAAACGCCATTCCGTACAAATATGCAGGCATGCACGTCATGCATATCCCTGTCGTGGGCGGCACAACCAGGCTCGGCACAATTGGTGTCAATTTATGGCGTGGAATTTACCGCTTCATCCCGACAAAGCGGAAGGTCTAACACGGGTCGCCGATTTTTGCTGGCACTCTCGGAATGCGGAGCTGATGTCACGTAAGCCGTGATGCCGGTGACGTCAGGAAACCCGCCACAACACGCACCACGGCCGACCCGCGGTGTTGGAACTACGACCGGAAGGCCACCTGGAGGCCGGTCAATGAAAGCGAGCGTGGGGGTGGCCCAGCGCGTGTCATCCGCCGCTGGCGCAGCCGACCCCTGCCCCCAGGCGTATGTCACTCCGGCGGGCGGTCCGGGTCCCGGCCCGGACTCCGGACTCCGCTGGTCCGCGGTCCACTAGGCGGGATTTGACGGCGTGGGTGGCGCATAGCAACAACGGGCGCGTGTCATGATGCACGTTCTTGTCCGATTTTTCATCAGCAATGCGAGTAATCTGGTTACTGGCCAGCGACGCCGCCGGCCCCGCGGCACGCCGCCGTCTGGTGAGCGAAGCAGCTACCCTAAGCTGGGGATGACCGTCCGGTGAGCGAAGCAGCTACCCTAGGCTAGGGATGACCGTCCGGTGAGCGAAGCAGCTACCCTAGGCTAGGGATGACCGTCCGGTGAGCGAAGCAGCTACCCTAGGCTAGGGATGACCGTCTGGCGAGCGAAGCAGCTACCCTAAGCTGGCGATGACCTTGGAAAACATTTGCAAAAGCGTCAGCTGCGCGTTGAAGGCGCTAGCAAGCGTGGTGTGGTGGGCTTAGACTGTCTGCTTCGTCCACACGTTACACATGGGGCGTCGGCAACAGCGCCAGATCACAAGACATCCAAAAAGCGAACGGCCGCTGATGCGAAACAGGCGTATAAACACGACTGCTATTTAGTCGGCGCACAAATACGCTGGTCCGACCGTTCGTCAGGGTCACAGGAAGCTCAGGGTCGCCGGGCTCGGTGACGCGATTCGTGGCGCGTGCGAGCCGGACACATGCGTGCTGGTACCGCCATGAGACCTGGGAGGCATCCACACGCCCTGAGCGGTGCCATCCTGCGCACTGGCGCACTCGAGCAGCCACTGGCGTGTGATTGGCGCGTGTGATTTGCATGAAGATAAGCGCCCCTCATGACAGTGGTCATAGGGCGAGCTTGTTGGTGGGGGGGGGGGATGGGCATGACCCACGCTGATTTGCCAAGACAGGCTTTGCTCTCGTAGTGTTGCTTGTAACAAGTAAGCTTTGGCATCTTCCTTGTCAAAACACCATTTCACGTCAAGCTATCACCCCCAATCCTGATGTATCCTCCCCCGCCCTCTCCTAATCTCTGCGGCGTGGCTGCAGCCATGGCTGCAACAGCGTGGCTTATCTCCCGTCAAATGCTTGCAGAAACGGAAATGTCAGCCAGTGACTGTTACTCGAGTGGATAGCCCGGCAGGACAGGTGTAGCGGTGGAAACACCATCTCACAGAAGCTGGCACATCTCCTCACGGCGCGTCAGGGGATGTTCGCCATCTCACAGAAGCTGGCACATCTCCTGATGGCGCGTTAGGGGATGTTCGTTAGGGTACGTTCGTTAGGGGATGTTCGTTAGGGTATGTCCGTTAGGGGATGTTCGTTAGGGCATGTTCGTTAGGGGATGTTGGTTAGGGTATGTTCGTTAGAGGATGTTCGTTAGGGGATGTTTGTTAGGGTATGTTCGTTAGGAGATGTTCGTTAGGGGATGTTCGTTAGGAGATGTTTGTTAGGGGATGTTCGTTAGGGGATGTTCGTTAGGGGATGTTCGTTAGGGGATGTTCGTTAGGTGGTGTTCGTTAGGGGATGTCGTTCCCGCAACCTTTCAATTAATCGCTCCATTTTTCCCGCCCTTATGCCCGCTCACGTGCTTTTAACCATACGTAAGGTGTTATGGGACCTTACTCATCGCCAAACACAAGGATTGACATGTGCCGCTTTTTAGAGCGTGTTTCATGTCCGCATTAGAGTTAGATGAAGACATTTCACATCACAACAGACCCCGTCTTGTTTTGGAACGCCACATCCACTTACCTCTGTCATCTCCGTTTGTTTTCCCTCGAGGTGTTTGAAACTAAACGAGCCAAAGACTATCAATCATGCCCTGTTGTCCTAGTGCAAAAATACGCCCGGGTACTCACAGATGTATAAATACACAGCGCTGCAAGGCCACGCACTCCCTGGGCGTGCTCCGAGAGAAGATTTAGATGATGACCTGTCGCAATATATAAACGAAGTCAATTGCCTCCAGCAGAAATGCGGTAGCGCAGTGCATAGGTAAGTTTGGTATCTAAAGGAAGAGTGCCAGGTGGTTAATGGCCGCCTGTAGCTACTTATGTGCTCGTATTATGATGTGAATAACGCCATGAATATCGTACACAAGTTTATCAAAATAAACGACAGAAATGAACAGATCAACACCCTTTCCCAACAACTGTGACACCTCAATTACATATCTTTAAAGGCATCCCGATCAGCTTAAAGAAACTATAGCCATTTCGAAAAAGAGATCTTGATAACTCCAGTAGCATGACACTAACAAAGATATGGCCCAAAATTGAGCGCAAAATTTCGGACGGTTTCACGAGAGTGTCTCAAGCCCTGCTTTATTTCGAAATTGCCAGACATAAGTGGCTTTCCACACAAAACACAGCAATCGAGCTGTTGCAAATGTTTGGCAACATGTCGCCATGACCATTGTCTCAATAAAAGCGTGAATCAAACCAACGAAAAATGTCGCAAACATATGAGGCCTCTGGTGCAATGAAACTATGTTCCAACTATATATGAGGTACCAAACCAGTACAACATCACATCCTCAACTGCAGTGCAGATAGGATTTACTTGAGAGTCTGCACATTGCGACGTAAGCCACTTCAAGTGGCAATACATCCAACTGGCGAACAACGCACTCTAAACGACCTAACCTCCACCTTAAGCAGAATCCATCGTCAGATGGCAACTGGAACAGGCTAACTGCGTTGTTATTGAAGGCGTTCTTCACACTTTCCAATGCGACTCAGAAATAAGCAGCTAATCGCAAGCATTGCCGAATGGCATCCTAAACCCCGGCCGCCCAAAAACTGTTACCAGCCGAACATGTCTGGGCATGTCATTCGTCCACGTGACACTAGACGTGGACTGCCTGTTCACACCTTGTTTTGTACAAGTTGGGTTGATACAGTCTCCGACCGAACGCTGTACTTCATGGCGTTTGATGGCGCCTTCATTGCCTTCCAGAACAAGAAAAACTGTTGGTCAGCATGCAAAGTGCGATAAGATGTTGCTTGCACTTAATTTGCACAAAATTCACGACGCCAAACCGCATCAAATGTGGCGTGTGTAGGTAGGTGCACGTAACCAACGCCATGTAATACTCGACGCACACGGAACACGCATGCGGGCTATTGGTTTCGTCCGTGACACTATCAGTTACCGAGTGTTCTCAGATGCAGACATGTGTCACTAAACATCATCAGGTCCTTTTCATGACCAGCCGTTCGTGACCGCTGCGAGAACAAAAGCATCGCTGACGGAAACAATAAGTCGGAGTTCTTTCGCCTGCAACGACACCTCGTCTCAAACGTTCAGTAAAACCATTGAGCTTCGTTGCAAGTTTGCACGTAGCGGAATACGCGGGCGACGCACCCGAAACCAACCGGGATCCAACCAGAGACCAGCCGGGATCCAACCAGAGACCGGCCGGGATCCAACCACAGACCAACCGGCATTCGGCCGTCGCGTCGCAGTGTTTCGAATGCGCGAACGTCGATGCGTGTTTGGCGCTTTGATACGTGCCCCGACCTGTTTTGTGAGGTCGCTCACCTGGCCCATCCGGCGTATGGCGTGGCTGAACTGCTGGTGAAGCCCAGCGATGTCATATCAGGCACCTTCCGACTTCAATGACAGGACCCTGTGCCGGTTACTCCTGGTCTTAACCACTCGACAGGTCAGTCTGCACTGACCTCGAGAATCGCTTGGATAAATTGATCTAGATTTGTAAATGGTGTGGTTGCTTTACTACAATCGTGTTCGACGGCCTTCTAACAGGCAGTTTGAATCAACAGTGTGTTAAAATATAATACCTTTTACTATAATAGTTGGTCCATAGTAGTAAATATCATGGACCATTGCATGGTCCCAAGATTTAACCACTCTATTGGCACTTGAAATACTATATTTCAGTGAGCCCGTTCTGTGTCAGTTGTTGGCTGTCATTGTGACTTTACGCGTAGTTTGGTGTAGAGCCGCTGGACCTGTTGACCGTGTTTCAATGTGTTGCGACCTAAACCCATCTTCGATAAACTCCTGGCCCCATGTTACAATGCAGCCGGCTGCAGTGGCGCAAAAGCCGGCCGCATCAGCAAACCGAAGCGTCACTTCCGTCACCTCCACCCGACTCGCCCTCCTCCACCCTGGCCGCAGACCGTCGCCGTTCGTGCAAGCCTCATGCACCGTACAAGCAGACAGGGAAGGCGCCCGTTTCGGACGGAGACAGGCAGACAGGAGGCGAGAAGGCGGCGCGTCCTGACGTCGGAGTCGTACCAGCTGGGTTCATCCCGCCTTACCGGGTCGGCCGACGCGGCGCTCTCCAGCTTCTCCAGCCGCCTCTGCAGCTCGAGGATTTGGCGCTGCATCTGCGCACCCTGCTGCAGCCGGTACACCTCCATGAAGCCGATGCACAGGCAGACGGTGCCCACGCAGAGCATGAGGAGCACGCGGGTGAGCGGGCAGCAGCGCCGCTCGGCCTTCTCGGCCGCCGGATCGGACGTGCAGAGGGCCATGCCGCTCGGGTGCTGCGAGACCTCGCGACGCGATGCCAGCGCTGCCGACCACCGGGACGATCTGAGGGGCGCGCGCTGCCGCACGTCGGTACGGTCCTGCCGGCGCCGGTGGCGCCACCTGCGCCGCGGCGGAAAAGACGGCCGAAGGGCCTCTGGAAGAGGAGGCGGGGGGAGGCACCGCACCGCAACCGGGGCGGTGTCCACTCGAGAGCGTGCCCGCGGCTGTTTGTTTATTTCGCGTGACCCGGGAGGGCTCCGGGCAGCAACAAGGTCGTCCAGGCCAGGCCCGGTGGCGTCATCTTGCAGTGTTATCGCTGGGACTGCGCGCCGGTACCCGCGAGTGTTTCGGTGGAGGAGGTTGGGACGCGTAAGGGACGTGCACGAAGGAGAGGATGTCAGCAGGACTTCCATGCGATACAAAAACCTTGAGTGTGCCACAGATGACACGCGCAAAATTCCGTGGAGCATTATTTGACGTTCAGGACTACTATGCTGCTCAAATGCAGACTATTTCATAAATCATATAACTTAACGAACAGAAATTGCTGTTATTCGAAATGGAGTGTGCTAAATCCGTTGAAAACGACATATTTGAGAGGGGTTAATTGTCAGACGCTCAATTGTCATTTTTTTTAAAATCGATGTCAGTGAACGCGAGACCGTGCTGACACACTTGAATCTGATCTGCCTTGAACGGCTGGTCTCTTAAAGGAGTGTTCTATGAGGTTTTTAACCGAAACCTTTCTGAAGACCATTCGACCAGACCAGACCATAACCGTCTTGAAGACCATTCGGTGCGGCTCGCAGCCCTGCACTTCTAAAGAGCGAAACCCCTTTAATTTCTGAGCTACACGCCCGCGAACATGGGGAAACTATTTCGGGGAGAGTACTTTAGGGTCACCTTGGCATTTATGACGTCATTATGACATCATTCAAATCCTGCTATTCCATAAGCCATGTGGCGATCAGGGCAAATAAGATATAACAGTTAAGTCCTTCATATCTGGCGTTAGCTTGCAGGATTTCCAGATATCGCGGCCATCAGTTGGCTCTCAATCAATGCTGTGCAAGGTACGGTGGCATTCTCAGACAATGACGCATCCAGGCGCATATTTACTATACGGAGAAATTGTGTCGTCTAGAGCAGTTTTTCTTCTTGGCATAGTCATTGCGACGTGACTCGATTAGCCACAAGAACCTCAATCACATTCAGCCTTAAACAACGGCTTGTCTTGGTTAAAATTGCTAGTCCATAATGTGCCAATAGCCAAGAGACAATCAGTTAGCTAACTTATCCATATAATTTGTTTTCAAATATAGCTTTTCCCTGTCCGGTTTCCCATGATTCAGTACAAAAATATCGCTGCATTCCCATGTTCCTCTCTAAGCATTGGCCAGGCAGCAGTACCAGCAGTGTTCGCCAACTGCGTACGAGCCGGAGCCGACCTTTGACATCAGCGCGCACGTCCCCTCGTTGTATACGCTCGTCTGTCCGTACCAGAAGCGGACGGCGCCGCCGGCCCGTGCCTGTCCACCGCCGCGCGCAAGGGTCGCCGGTTCATGGGCAAGGCCCCACGGTTCCCACCGGACCGGGCGTTCCTCTCTAATAGCGTAACGGGGGCGGCCTCCGGGCTGCGGGTGGAGTCGGCCGCGTGCCAACGGAAGCGATTCTCTCCACACGCGCGCTCGTGGCGACGGTGTTCAGACGGCGGCGGCGGCGGAGGGGGGGGGAGGGGGAGAAGCGGAGGAAGTGATGGACTGGCATGCGAGTGTACTACCTCATGCAATGCGCAGCAAAAAGAAGTGTAACTCTTTGTAGGTCATAATGGATATATGATAAGGCACTCTCATGCTGATTTGTCGTGTCCGCTCCCCCCCCCCCCCCCCCCCGGCGCCCAAACATTGTAATGTGATAGTTTGCAGCCTTTCATTTTCGACGAACATGGACAATGTAAAATTTGTGTGCGAGCGTCAACAAGCTGCTCAAAACGGGTCGAGACTCGCAACAAACTTCGATGACACCCACACGAAACCGATACGGTTCGACGGGGCAGGGAACGGACCACCGTGCAGGGGTGGATGCGTGCAGCTGGTGACGCCCGCGCGAGGGCAAACTAGGCCCCCGACCGTTTCGGGACGTTTGTAATGACTGACGCCAAACGTCTGCGACCGAAACAGATAAAGGCGAGAAAAATAATGAAAGAATGAAATGCTTGGCGCTAGAGACATGGAAGCGTGATGCCGGCGAGGTCGCGCGCATATGTCTACCGATGCCGGCGAGGTCGAGTTCATATGTCCACCGCTTATCGCCCGTGGAATGGGTAACGTAACGCTTTGCGAAACCGGCATCGAATATAATGATCATGCTGTCGCTTGAAACGGGATAATTGACGCACCAGGCATGCAGTCCAGCTCCATCCGAAATGCTCGAGTTTTCGCGGTGCTTGGGTCGAGCTACGAAGTCACCAAGAAGTAAAAATTCTTAGAAAGCTGTCCGATTTCGCGACAGAAATTGCGATGGTTGGCCAGAAGCATATCGAGCCAATTTGCAAGCACGACGTGATTCGACAATGAACACGCGAATGGCACACCCGTGAATCTCGGCTGAACTGCCTCAAATACAGACTTTCCAATGCACCGATCAAAGCTAAATGCATCACCTCGCAAACGAATTTGCATAATTAGCTTAGATTTTGGTGTGGTCTGCATGTCGCTGATTGCTATCTTTCACGTCTTCCATCACCCTGTTCGTAGCAGGCTGCACAAGGCGCCGGCTGGCATGGTTACGTGGAACCCCACAGAAGTGTGTTTATGCTCCGAATGCGGTGTTCGTGATGTGGCAGTTAAGTTCTTCGGAGCTCGCGTATTAAAGTTGAGCCGCAGTAAACAAATAATATGGGGGCGAGCATCGCTGGAATTCTGGGTCACGTATGGCTTGGAAGAATAGTCATCACGCAAAGATTAGAGTTCAAGCGCTGTGACGAAAAGAAAAACATATAAAGCTTGTGCTGCATATAACGACTTGCTGTGGAATTAGGTCGAAATGATCTACAATGCGTCATGCTCTACGGAACCGCGCTACAATTATTTATAATTAATGACTAATGTTAGCACACAAATGCCTTTAAATATCAGCAACCTAACTGTTGACATGTTTACATGGAGAACGCGAGGTAATTAAGTTAAATTGTTTGGGGCACGAGCGTCAAGTCTGACCTTCTGTTTGGGGCACGGGTGTCACGTTTGACCGTCTGTTTGGGGCACGGGCGTCACGTCTGACCATCTATTTGGGGCGCGACGTCACGTCCGATCGTCTGTTTTGGGCACGGGCGTCTGAACAGAAAAAATGAGACGGATGCGACTTCTAAACCATTGTTGTATCTGATAACGTGTTTATGATAACTCGCGTATCGTAACAACGAAGGCAGAATTCAACACACCGAATTAAAGATGCATCGTAAGAACCAGTCTCGAACAGTGCGCATGTCGATTTCTGCAACTGTGCAGTGGGTGATGAGTTAAGTCAAAGTAGTTTTTGCCACCGGCGAGGGCAAAAACAAAACAAAGGAATTCGGTGACAGTTGGTAGTCTAGCAGTGGGTTTCAAGAATGCCACAGCTGTTTGTAGTCGGTGCGGCACCCGTCAGGGGTGGCACGGCGGGCGTGCGCTTTGACGCCACCGCAGTTTGGTGGCAAGCTGGTGACACCTATCTACGATCAGTCACACCAAGGTCGTAGGTGAAATATTAGGTTTCGATGGCGTCATGCAGGTCTCTGTGGGCGCCATTTCGGGTATCTTGAGGTGGCATGCTCCGCGTCGCTGGAAAGATACCAGGTATCTGTGGACCGCACACTTGGCCTTTATTAACTGCATGCCGGGTCCGTGTGGTTGGAACATCAGGAATTGTTAGGCATTCAATCTCACTTAAGAAGTGCCCGTAATTTCCGTAGCATAAAAATATCGCCAACCGCCCAGCATTCTCTAAACGGCTAACCTAGCAATCAGTATGACTGGCGATCCCGGATGGGTGAGTGGGTCCGCACCCTTCAACGTTCGAGGACTTGCTAGAGGCATAACGCAGCCCTTTCATACCCGCCCACATGGCATTAGTTGTTCAAAGCTCATGACAATATACGAACTTCCGCATGCTGTAACCAAATGAAAGAATTGATATCAAACTAAGAATGAACACACAGCTTTTCCTGGCACTCCGACAAAACAGCGACCTGTTAGGCAGCCCACATATGCAGTTCATAGAGCCTATCGATGCGTGGCATACTGACCTCAGAGGCCTGGAATGGCGTCCACGGAGGCCTAGTATGACGCTCACAGAGACCTAGCATTCCTCTCAGGGCCCTGGTACGGCTGATCATACGGTAGGCTAATAGGTACGGGCTGCCTCTGGAGTGCATGTTCGCGGTGTTGCCCTTCACATGATGCCGCACCTACCGGAAACAGCGCGGTATTTTTAAGTCGCACTGCCAGAACGTCAGCTGCGGCCAGATTTCACGTTTCGTTTTTGCTCGCGCTAATGGAAAAATTGCTTTGATGAAAATCGCTGTGCATTGCAAGCTTGCCTAGATTATGTACACATTGACATGTACACAGCTTGATACCGATTCTCAACAAACATATTGAATCCGTTGCGTTGTGATATTTCCATTATGTTGTTATCAGTACGCTGAGAGACATAGCCCAAATAGGGTATCAGGCATCACAGCGCCTTATTGGCCCTATTCTTACCATTTCGTGTCCTCGTGTATCGACACCGGTGCCGAAAACACCTATAGATAATTATGTGCGATGTCGATTTATTACATGTCAACATTTGGCGTGTCTGCATTTTACGGTGCGATATTTTACTTTTAGGCGTTGATATTTTTCGTGTTAACATTTTACTTGTCAGTATAAGCGGAAAAATTTTGCATTGACGCTGGATGTCAAAATTCATTGTATCCATCCTTTGTCCAGATGCCTTCTGCAAGGTTCAAGACCACATT